GAGGTTTGTTTTTCAAAATCTTGAACCCCATGTGGGGGAGGTACCAGGTGGAAATGGTGGCCCGATCTCTACCATCTTTATAACAGATCTTGTGTTGATGGAAGTATTGAAATGTGCCAAGTCTATATGGAATCGGATGTTGATTTTGCGTTTTGTGAGCTTCATGGATATTATTTTGACACGTTGTAAGGGAGGTACCAGAAGGAGTGGACGGATATGTTCCACATTCACACCACACCTTGCCTTAAAAAAATGTGTTTAATTTGAAGACATCGGACTCTTACATCACATTTTATAAGAGTTATAATTATTCAAAATGTTGACTCTTTGTGGAGTGGACCGAGATTGTCCATTTTCAAGCCTGACCTAGCACTGATGCAAATATTAGGATTTGTAAAGTTGGAGCAAAATCGGATTATCTTTTCTCTTTTTGTGTAGTTAATTATTTTATTTGAAAGTGGACCGACATTGCCCATCTCCGAACTCGATCTAAGTTTGACCATAATATTACGTAGTACCAAGTTTGGATTAAATCGGATACTCCCTTCGAGAGTTATCATGTAAACCAGACAGCAGACAGACAGCCGGACGGACATCGCTAGATCGACTCCAAAAGTCCTAACACGGATTTGGCCTAGGGTCTAAAACTGTTATTTGGTTGAGGCACGTTTTGGCCGTATCAAATAATGGATACCCTCCATGGCTGAGGGTATAAAAATTAAATTGGGAGCAGCATCGCTCAAAATATAGCTAGAGTTTGCTCTAAGAGTGTAAATGAGTGGAAAAAATATGATGAGAAGTGTGTGGTGGTATACACTTTCGTAGAAATACAACAAGGGTATGGAAAAATACTAAAAAAAGTAATCAGCAAGAGTCGAATCTGCTCGATTTTGCACCAATTTTATAAATACGCTCTCTTCTGTTCGAAGAGTGCTCAGCTCGAATTCGAGTTACTTTAAATCTATGCACAAATTCGAGCGATATACGCGTCTTATTTTTTAACTCTACTTGCACAGCGTTATGTATGATCTTGCAAAAAATTTTAACCCCTAAGCCACTATATACGATTTAAACCCTGTTGATTAAGTAGTTTACGACATATTATCTTGCGTTAAGCAAAGTGTCGAGTTTCCAATCAAACTTTAAAATGCAAATTAGACGTTCTTTAATACATGACACTTTTTGTGTAAACGAGCGACATATAGCTTCTTGCTCGACCTTCTTTTTAAGTTCTCGTCTTAATATATTTTGTAATATTTGTTCTTAAACTTAATTGAAATGAACTAGATGTTACAAACTTTAGATTTTTATCATTAAAAACAATTTTGTTAAACATTTAAACGGTTAATTTCGGACCGTTAATAAGGTTAATAACAGCACAGACAATGGCTGATGTGGCCTCTACGAATATTTCGATACTTATTTGTCATGACACTCTTAGTTTTTTTTTTTCTCCCATTTGTTTTTGTTCTTGCATCCGGTCCTTGGGAATTTTTCTCATCATTGAATCAATTGCACCAAAAAGAAAAAAAGACCAACTTTGACTTTGTAACCGCAGCCCAGATTTCATGCTTTATTTCCATATTAATTTAGCTGAAATAATTCGTCTGTGCTTATCTTTGGGGAAAAGAAACTGAAAACTGCTCAATATTATTTCACGCATTATTATTAGATGCAGCATTTGCTGCTACCGCAGCAGGCCGGACACCAGCAGATACATCAAAGCAATCATTTGTTGTTGGCAACAGAAAAATCACAGCATAATCTAATGTCGTTTTTTTCTTTTCTTTTCCAATGCGAAATAAAATGATTGAATGATGAATTTAAAAAAATGGTGGTAAAGCTTGATGAAGTAGAAAATGGGTTAGCAGCCAGTGTACGCTGTATTTTGCTGAAGGTTATCAGTCCTTGTCAAACTACCAATGAACATTAACATTAGTTTGTCGAGCAAGTGACCAAAGCCAAGAAAATGAGCCATTTTTTAGTTGGATCATTAGGCAGGACCACAATTAAACTGGCAGATATGTTGAGAGACAGACATCTCACTTATGAAAACAGACCATATGAATAAATAATTCCAACATAATTGTCTCTTTTAAATATTTTTATTTACTCAGAATCAATAAAATACTCAACAAATGTTTAATATATTTCAAACGACACTCCTCTTTCCAAAAACAAAACTCAGCGGAAGCTGTATTTGATTACTGGCTGTGAATATTGTAAAACATAATTGTTTCAAACGAACAACAACAACCGGGTATTATTTTTCAATGTTAAATCGAGGAGGGCGGGTATTGGTATTGGAATTGATAACTGTTTTCATCGAAACAATTATTTGATTTTGTGTCAAAATATCGATTCTATTTTCAGTTTTCACTTTTGTTTGATTTGTTTCCCTGCTATAAAACTATAAATACAATGTTCTGAAAGTTGCACTAAAAGCTGACTTAACCTCACTTCATTCATTCATAGCAATGGAGGTCATCAGAATATCTAACAATTTTATTATATTGAAATTGGGTATTTGAATTACATTTTGAATTCTAATAATTTGAATTGTTATTTATATGAGAAAATAACATATTTCTGAAAACAGTACTTGATATGCCGTATTATCTTCTGACAGCAAATGTTTAACATTAAAAGGCTTATTTTTCGAGACAAAAAAATGGAAACAATGAGACAGGCCATGCATTCTCCCGAGGATGCACAGTCAAAATATTAAGAAAGAGAGTCACTGTCATGGAAATCAAAACACCATTTATACCCTACACCACAAGGTGGTCAGGTAATTATGTTTGACCCAGGGACGGACCCTATTGGAGGTAATCGGTCAAAATTTAGATATATCTCCGATATATACCTCTGTCCGATGTGCCTTTTATTGTGCACCAAATGTGTAATATCAGCCCAAATAGCATAGCACATACGACCAAATTAGGCCTGAAAATAAGTATGCCAAATTTGATCGAAATGGGTTCAGATATAGCTCCCATATATATTGTTCTACCCATTTGTTATTATTGTCCTCCGCAGTAGTATGCACTCTGTAACAACGAAATACATTAAATACTGCTCAGAAATACCTTTGCCAAATTTTATCGTGATCAGTGAGATGAAAAACTGCAACCAACTTCAGACTGTTGTCATTTCTAAGCCACTCGTCCGACAGCTGTTAAAATTATTCCAGTGACAGCTTAGTGAGAAATTTCCAGAAAAAAATGTAAGCGTGATAGTGTGATTTTGTATGTCTTGCTGGAAACCACAAGTGGCTATCGTTAGAGCACTCCAGCTCCAGAATAAATATTTTGTGTCTCGTACCATCCCTCTTTACCGTGATACTGGAAGTGTAGCCCTACGTCAAGGAAGTAGAAATTTCCAGAAAAAAATGTAAGCGTGATAGTGTGATTTTGTATGTCTGGCTGGAAACCACAAGTGGCTATCGTTAGAGCACTCCAGCTCCAGAATAAATATTTTGTGTCTCGTACCATCCCTCTTTACCGTGATACTGGTAGCGTAGCCCGACGTCAAGGAAGTGGACGGAAGAAAACAGCAACATCAGCAGAAATGGTTCGAAAAGTAAAGAAGCGACTTGATCGAAATCCGCTTCGCATTGACCGAAAAATGGCTCGTGAGCTGAACATATCACAATATTCCCATAGGCAAATATTGAAAAATGAGCTCGGGGTAAAGCCATTGAAATTCCAAAAAGTGCAAGAGCTTACACCGCAACAGAAAGAAAAGAGAAAACATTCGTTGTCCGTTTACTTGCCAAAGAGGTCAGCTGAAAATGTGCACCTTCGGTTGGCCACCAGAACTCAAGTGCCGGCCATGGTGATAGTGTGGGCCGCCATAACAACCGATAGTCGCTCTCTACTCGTATTAATTGTAATAATCGACCGTGGCATCAGAATAAATGCCGAATATTATCGCGAAGATATCTGCACACGCCACCCAAGAGTGGTTACAAAATGAGGTTCCACCAAAACCACCACCAAAATATCCGGATACCATTCCGTTGGACTATTGTCTCTCGGGAGTATTTTTGAAAGCAAGGTTGGCACTAAGAAATACCAAAGTGTCGATCCCCTCAAGCAATCGCTTTGGGCAAAAATACCGCAGAACAACATTCGGGCAGCGTGTGACGGTTTTAATTGGTGATAATTCGTGCCAAAGGTGACCAATTCGAACAAATCCAAACTTATTTTAAATTTTGATGCTATTTTCGACAATTTTTGCTTTCGTTCAATAAAATTTAGAACAAAAATGTAAAGATTATGACGTTTGACTTTGTTGCAGTTTTTTGTCTCACCCTATGAAAGAAGTATGTCAAATTTGGTTCAGATATAGATATATGGTAGCCATATTGTTATTTGTCTTCCACAGCCACGATATGCCCTCCGTAACAACGATTTTAGAGGAAATATATCAAATAAAACTCAGAAATACCTTTGTCAAATTTTATCGACTTCGGATCAGATTTGGATGTAGCTACCATATATTTTTTTATCCGAGTTAAAGTTAATTGTAATAATACAAGCCTGAATTTAAAAGGAACAAATATCTCGGCAAATTTAGTAGAAATCAATGCAGATGAGAATATTCCTCTCATATAATAGTTACATTGGACTTTAAATTAAATTTGGACTCAAAATTTAACTTTAATCATATTTGGTATGGCTTAATTCTCACAAATTCCCCATAAAAACTTTTATTTGTTTTGTGAAGCTATACTAAATATGCAAAGAGGTGTAGGATATCATAAAGTCGGCCCCATCTGACTTTATGATTTTCTTTACTGGTTTTATCTGTGGACTTTTTTCCACAAAATTCGAAGAGTTTTTCACTTTCATTTCATGTCTTTGTATTCCCTTCCTCCTAAGAAGAGATCATATCTTTAAACCCGCCGATTACAAACATTACTTTATAATTATTATTTCTAAATGTTTACAAACACAACAATGTGATTAATTATATATTTTTTCACTTCATTTCAGATCTTCTCCATCAGACATTACTACATTCAGAACAAACATTCTGTATTAGATTTGCAAATAAAAGACAAACTTTCAAAACATCTGGCAATTGAAAAAATCAAAAAAAAAAAATTCCACCACAACCGCAGCCAACACCCGCACAACAAACAAATCGAGCCCAACACGCTGACAAAAGGAAATCTTTTGAATGCCGCAGTTTCTGCACGCCATCGTCAACTTAGTATGAGAGAAAAAGATCATTCTCCAAGAAAAATGCTTCCTAGCCCCAAACAAGGGTCGGTCTACCCGATTTTAGGCTCCATGCCCTACAACAGCAACAATTTCAACTCGAATGTACCTTATGATCTGTCATCGCCTGCACGCAGCAATAGCTCGACGGCGGCCACAGCCCTTACCACCGCCCTAACAGCATTGTATCAAACTCAAAAAGATCTGAAGAAGGAGAGGAGGCGTGGCCATGTGGATCAACCCTTGGACTTGAGATTGGCCCATAAAAAGCATGATAGTGGCACGGCAGGTGATGGCGGGACAGATGGGGACTCCAACACCACCGAAATGATGGAGGATGAAAATAGCAATCTGGTAATGATAACTAGCGGACAACTGGACAAGTCTTGTCACAACTCCGAATGCAACAGCAATACCAACACGAATTCTCGGGTCCTGCAAGATGGTGTGGCTGGCGATAAGACAGTGGATCTTCATTTGTTGAGTGAATTGAATAATAACAACAACAATTTCCTGCTGCAAAACAATCAAGCTCTGCAAGAACAGTTCGAAGCTCTGAACAGCAAAAAGATGCTGAGGGTGTTGAGGGACCAAGCCAAATCGTTGCCAACAAATCTGGAACAACTGCCATTTCCCGTAACGGCCCTACATCCCACTCTACTCGAGACCATAGCCAAAGCAATGCCTCCTCTGCCCTACCGAAATCTCTTCTTTTTGCCTCGACCAAATCAGGCCAATAATCCAGCTGCAAATGTAACAAATTTCCCGTTTTTCTCCTCGCCACCGGCCGGTAGTCTAGGTAAGGATGCGAAAAAGAATACCACAACTGTAACGGCGACGACCACAACGCCACCCATAGCCACAGCAGATTCTAGCATGACAGATCTTAAATTTGATGTTGCCGCTGCCAGCGCCAATAGAAATACCCTTACCGAAAGCCTGGCCAATTCGTTGCTGCTCAGTCAAAATGGACCCACGCCCACCACCACCCCAAGCACCGGTGCCTCGGGTGCCCCACACTATCGCCAAAAGAGACCTGCGGTTAATCGTTCCAATGCTCCAGCCGGGGCCAATCATCTGTACAAATCAAAGGACCGTTATACGTGTAAATTTTGCGGCAAAGTATTTCCCAGATCGGCGAATTTAACCCGCCATCTGCGAACTCACACGGGCGAACAGCCCTACAAATGCAAATACTGTGAACGTTCCTTTAGCATATCGTCGAACCTGCAACGACATGTGCGCAATATTCACAACAAGGAGAGACCCTTCAAATGTGAAATTTGTGAACGCTGCTTTGGCCAACAAACCAATCTCGATCGTCATCTGAAGAAACATGAAGCCGATGCCGTGTCAATGGGTCTGGGTCTCAACGAACGCATACGTGGTGGTCTACGTCGTTTCTGTGAAAATCCTGCCGAGGAATCTTATTTCGAAGAGATACGCTCATTTATGGGTAAAGTCACTCAGTTGCCGTTGAATTCAGCTGGCGCTGCGGCGGGAGCTTCCAAGTTGTCACTGATGGATCATAGTACAACACCGCACTCTGAACCTCATTCGCCGGGTCGAAGTTCATCGTATGCCCCCTCTGATCCCGACTCAACGGCCAGTGGTCTGCGTATTATCATTAAGGATGAGCACAGTAATCATAGTAATCAATCGAATGAGCAACAACAACAACAACAGCAAGGTAATGATCCACAACAACACCAGCAATCTGGGCCTGGTGGATCGGCACCATCCACACCGCCTCCTAGGAACGATGGCCACCGAAGTAATCAGGGCTCCCCGTCTACAGTATCGAATATTCAAACAAATAAACTAAGTCCTTTTGAATCGTCGCCCAGTAGAGAGTGTTCGGCAACAACCTAACATTGAATGAAAATCCGTTGGTTAATAGATTCTTAGAAAGGGTATTGTTTGTTGACGATTTTTTCCATTGTTGGGAAAAATAATCTTAACAAAAATATAAACATTTGGTCTGAAAGAAAATGCTTCCAAAATTATCCAAATTGGTGTCTCCTCCCAATTTTTACAAAAAAGTACATGTTGATAACCCAGCAATGAAATATCTGACTCTGAAATAAAGATCCCCAACTCACAAACAGAGCATTCGTTCACCGTGTTTAAGTGTCTTCTTACTATGTCCTATTTTCTAAAACAATTAATTTATGTAAATATAATTTGTTTCAATTCCTCTCTTGCGAAGAAAAACTCATACTTATGTACATTGCAACAATACACGCAAGAGTTAATGATTTCTAATGAACTAATTTGAACATCATATCGTTTGTAAACTATTTACAATTCGAATCCTTCTATTTAAATGTTACTCTCATTATTTACGTTTACGATTTATTGTAAATATATATACGTTTAATAAAATCTGTAAGCATTCCTTCAAAATGTATTTGTGTAAGTTCTACAAGTTGTTCATAGAGTAGTTAGCTTGTCATTTCATAAAATAAGATAAATTCCCAATGTATGTAACTTTGTAAAAAAAAAATTATTAAAATAACAAAAAGAATACTTATAAATGCATTTTGTATGATAAAGAAATAAGAGCAGAACAGCAATTAGAAACGTATTTCAATTGTACAACAATATATGTATTTTTGTCTTTTGTTTAATTAAGAATTAGGTAAAATGTTTTATTATTGAGAATTTATGTTTTATTTCTTAAATAAATGTTTTTGCAAAAATTAAAATGATTCATTTTATTTGCATTTGGATTGATGGGGATTTAGGCTGGATGTGCGACAAGTAGGTCGGAACTAAGAGGGGAAAATGAAAGTTACAAAGTGCAATAATCATAAGCTACATAAGAATATATCAACAAGTAAAATAGTATCAGTCGGGTTTGTCGACAGATGTATACCCTCAGCCTTGAATTATGATTATTCAAACTGTTGATTCTTTATGAGGGAGGTTCCGAAGCAGTTGGACAATATTGCATAATTCGTATCTGACCTAAGACTGGTAAAAATATTACAGCGTCCCAGATTTGGACTATATCGACTCCATCCTAAACTTAATATGAGATATGTGCACATTTTTGGAAAATTTGGAAATGCAGGGTTAGATGAAAAAACTGCAATCAACTTGAGACTGCTGTCATTTCTAAGCCACTCGTCCGACAACTGTTAAAATTATTTAGTGACAGCTCATTATATTGTTTACATTCGTACAAAAGCATTTTGGTGAGAATTTTCCAGAAAAAAAGTTATTTTTGATGAAATTTAAGCGTGATAGTGTGATTTCTTTATATTTTGTTGGAAACCCACAAGTGGCTATCGTTAGAGCACTCCAGCATTTAAATATGAAAAGTGGACGAAAGAAAACAGCAACGCCAGCAGATATGGTTCGAAAAGTAAAGAAGCGACTTGATCGAAACCCGCGTCGCAGTGGCCGAAAAATGGCTCGTGAGCTGAACATATCGCAATATTCCATTCGGCAAATATTGAAAAATGAGCTCGGGGTAAAGCCATTGAAATTCCAAAAAGTGCAAGAACTTACACCGCAACAGGAAGAAAATAGACTCAAAAGAGCTAAAAAGTTGATTTGCTTGGCCGAAAGTGGTGAACTACCGAATTTGGTTATCTTCGATGAGAAAACATTCGTTGTCCAGCGGTTTGTAAACAAACAAAATGATCGTGTTTACTTGCCAAAGAGGTCAGCTGAAAATGTGCACCTTCGGTTGGCCACCAGAATCCAAGTGCCGGCCATGGTGATGGTGTGGGCCGCCATAACAGCCGATGGTCGCTCTTCACTCGTATTAATCGACCGTGGCATTAGAATAAATGCCGAATATTATCGCGAAAATATTCTGGAGGGTGTATTAAAACCTTGGGCACGCAAACATTTTGGCCGCAGACCTTGGGCATTCCAACAGGACTCAGCACCATCGCACTTAGCACGCGCCATCCAAGAATGGTTACAAATTGAGGTTTCTCTCACACAATGGCCTCCAAAAACTACGGATACCAATCCGTTGGACTATTGTGTCTGGAGTATTTCGGAAAACAAGGTTGGCACTAAAAAATACCAAAGTGTCGATCGCCTCAAGCAAGCGCTTTGCCGGGAATGGGCCAAAATACCGCAGAGCAACATTCGGACAGCGTGTGACGGTTTTATTGGCCGTTTGAAGGCCATAATTCGTGCCAAGGTGACCAATTCAAACAAATCTAAACTTATTCTAAAATTTTATTTTTTTTTTTAATTTTTTGCTTTCAATCAATAAAATTTAAAAAAAAATTTAAAAATTATGGCGTTTGACTTTGTTGCATTTTTTTTGTCTCACCCTGTACAAACTGTGTATACGTTTTGACAGAACATGGACACTAAAAGCAAAAAATTAATTCATGAGGTAGCTTTATTCCTCCCCTCGTTATTGTACCGTGGTCCCACGTCCACATATGTAACTATACGTCTCCACTTCTATAAATGAAAATACATTTCTAAAGTTTCCTACCACATTGACAACTTAAAAATAAAAATTATTCGAAATATAAAAACATTGATTCTTAAATGGATATAAAGACGTTACTTTTAAAGGGATTATCTTCGCAGAAACCCATTAGGGCATGCCATCGTCTTTTAATCGAGAACAAAGGGTATGTAATAAATATTATAGATATTGGTTTGAACAACTTCATCACACTTCGCTAATATTTCAGCTATACAATAAACTTTCAATTGAGCGGAAAATATTTGAAAATAACAAGGATAAAACGTATTACACAAAAACGCAAAACATTAAAACAAAGGATCAGATGGAGGCAAAAATTCCACCAACGATATCGAAACAAAGTGAAATCCTATTTGACACGAAAACTAAATGAAGACTTGCTAAAGGAATTGACTGATGCAAACAAAATTCGAACAATAGTACTGCAACGTAGCAAAATTGAGAAAATCAACATAGTGGAGACGGTAAAAATATGCAGGGGCACAGAAACCAATATGCCTAATACAAAAGCCAGCATTGGAATACAAACTGCAACCCGAAAACAACAAGTCAAAATGGTAAGCAATTCCACTGAAACAGAAAGAACAATCTGTAGGACATCTGGACAGCAAACTTTAATGTATAATAAGCGAAAATCCAGCTCTGGGCCAAAACCTTTTCCTCCACTACGATATTTCTCATCAACTGGTACCCAAACTGAGTTGCAGACCACAACATGTGGCATTCAATGCAAATATCGGACGGTATCCGTTGCTATTCAATCTGATCAGTTGGCTACTGCAGCTGCAGGTATCCAAGTTTATAGCAATAACCATGAGTTCAACAAATCCCCAGATGTTCCTATCCAAAATTGTAGCGGGAAATTACCGGAACAGGAAATAATGATTTACATGTTAAATGAAATAGGAGAACTTGTAATAAATCAAAACGCATTACTAATTAATAATTCCAAATTATTAAATCAGATAAGTGAACGGGCAACACTTCACAGGAAAAGGTGTATTATAAGGTATGTATAGAGGATATGATAAATAGGCTATTGCTACCTAAATATGTACGAATATATTCACAGAACGAATGGTATTCTGAAACGAAATAAAACTACGCCAAAATGTTTGATACGAAAACGAAGCAAGTATGTGATTGACAAAGAAAGGGAACAACTTGATTTGAGGTAAAAATGATGCTCCTATTCCAAGATGCTTTAAAAAAAATAATATTACTCTTATCATTAGCTCAAAGTCAACACAAACTGATAAAAGGCAAATTGCCGCCAATTCGGTCGACAATTGTACCCAAACTTCAATGGATACATATCTAAAAAAATCATGGTTTGGTAGAAAAGCAAATAAATTCAATTGAAATTTTTCAAGAACTGTTTCGATGAAAAAATCAAATGCATCAACCAATTATTTCACTTACCTTCCCAGATGTCTTGATGTCTTGTATTCTGATTGGAAAGTAATGCGCCCAAATGAAAATGTTGATTGATGTTTTAATGTCTTGATTTTAAAATGTTGCATGTGTTGATTGAAGATAAATATTGAAATCTTGATTGATGCTTACAGTGCTTGGAATTGATGATTTGGCGCCATTGGAATGGGTGATTGACTTATAAATAATATTAAAACGCTCGTATGTTCTTTCTTTTGTTTGTGGTTTTACTATTTTTTTCTCTTCTTTCTCCTTGTGAATTCATTATAATTTGCTTTTATAATTTGGCTTGTTGTTGTATTTGTTGTTTGTTTGTTATTCTTAGTAAGTATCATTAAGTTTAGAATGTTTTCATTCTCTGCTTCTTAATATTGAGTAAATTTTAAAAAATTAAATTTAACTACACAATTAACAAAATAAAGTCGACAGCAGACACGGCACACATACGTCGTAAACACGCTCACTAACATTCATCATTCTCAGACTCGCTCTCTTAGGCTTAATGCATTTTTAACGGAAATGTTTTATGTGGGGGCTTTATTTCCTCTAATGTGGAAGGGAGTTCAAGAACAAATCATACCAGCGATTTACCACCCCCGCCACCTCCCCCACTGGATTTTGATTTGTTGCCACCTTTTTTGGATGAAGAATTATAGGACTTGTCGGAACCGGAACTTATGTTACCTGTAAAGTCAAATAAATTAATGTATGTATGATGTTGAATTTAACAAATTTATTTACCTTTGTGACCTGAAGAGGATTTCTTAGAATTATTATATGGATGTCTACTGCCACCCTTGTCGCTGTCATAGCCAGCCCGTCTTCTCGATTCCCGAGGACTGGGTGGTGGACTGAAGTCGGTTTCTGTGTCATAGGTGGACATAAGATCACGTTCTGTGCCATAATTATAGCGGCTATCTGTGGGTGAGAGTGAACGATATGTTCGTGGTGGTGGTGAGTATGTGTGATGACGATGCCACGAATTGTTGCTTTCGTAATCCAGATAGTCATCATAGTCGAGTAGACTTGAGCGTTGTGGAGGCGGCGGTGACATGATACGTCCCAATGGTGCTGGACGCATCTCACCTGGTGGCACGAAAGGAGGTGGGGGCGGCATTCCCATGAATGGTGGAGGTGGTCCCATGAATGGTGGCGGTAGGAATGGTGGTGGTGGCATTCTGCCTAACATGGGGGAGCCCGGAGACTCCATGTGTATGGGAGAGGGGGCATTTGCTAAATCATCACCCAGGCCTGCAGGACCAGCTGAAGGTTCTAGAATGAAAAACGAATTCAAACGAATAAATATCCATAATTGTTTGCCATTTACTTACTATTGGCTTCATTAACATTGCCACCAGCTAATGCTGTCAATTTCCTGCGTAAAGCTGTGGCTTCTGCCCTAGCTTCTTCGTACCGTCTATCCGATTGGCGGGCTGCCAACCATGTCTCGTGGGCACGATTTTCAAGCGTACCCGTTTGGGCCTTGTGCGCTGCAACTTGAGCTTCAATTTCAGCACGCAAGGCATCATTTTGAGATCTATTTAAAGTAAAAAATTGTTCACATATTTTCATTTCAGATATTAAAATAAAGCATACTTCAATGATTGTATTTCCTCTTGCATGGCCGTTAAACGTTCCACAGTTGTACTAGTTTCACCTTGCTGCTGCAACCACATGGTTTCTTTTAGGCTCAGTTCTCTAAAATGGTTAAAAATATGTTTATTGTTAAATAATAATAAACACGATAGAGTTTGTCATACTTTTGTAACTGTGTCTCTTTCTCCTTGAAGTAATTTGACAATACTTCCAGACGGGTTTGAGCTTCCAATTTGTCCTTTTCCGATTGATTAAAGTCTTGTTTAAGTTTTTCAACCTCAGCTGTTGCCACTTGCAATTGACTCTCACATACTTTTCTGGCATCCTAGAAAAGAAAAAGGGTAATACTAGTTCACGGAGAAAATCTTAGCATGTAGACATTACCAATTCCAATTCCAATCGTTCCTTTAGTGACACGTATTTCTTCTGGGCATCTAGTAGTTCAGCTCTAGTATTGGCGACATCAATAACCTGATTGATATTTACATTGGGATCCTTTTTAACATTCTTCAAACATTCCTCTAATGCCTGAGAAAAAAATGACAACATTATGAATTAATTCAAAGAAATAGAAATATAAATGTACCTCCACTTTAGCCAGACTGGTCTGCCACTTAGTGTGCTCAGCCTCCACCTTTGCACTTAAATCTACAATTTCGTTTTGTAGGCGTTTGATTTCGAAATTCTTGCCCTCCAAAGCAGCGGTGATATCCTTGTCAAAATCATTTTTAATTTCGTCCAGCCGAGTGATTAGACTGCCTTTTTCTGCCTCTAGCTCATCATTGTCCCTCTGAAGATTTGAAATTTGCGATTCATAGCGAGCATTTTGTTCAGCTATCAACAGTTGCAATTCACTATTTTCGCGGCTCTTTTCAGCCAAACTGGCATTGATTTCCAAAATCGTATCTGCAATAATGTGGCTAATAAATAGCGGCATTGATTGGTAGTCTCTTTTACTTACTTTGTTGTTCATTCAATTGCTTCTGTAATTCTTCCACACTGCTTATGATGCTTTCGTCTCCAGTCTGATTACTCAACAATTCTGAAACTATTTTATTCAATTCAATACCGGCATCTGCAGCAGCTTCCAATTCCTTTTGCAATGATGTTATCTGCTCTTGCAAGCGAGCCTTCTCCACTAACTCTTCCTCCAATTCTTTTTTAATCGACAACACCATATCGTTGGAGCCAAACGAATTATCCTCAATGCTGGACAGCTTTTGCCGGGTCGACATTAAGTTGTGCTTAAGAATGGAATTTTCTTTGTGGGATGCCAATAAACTACTTTCCAATTGATTGAGTTTGGAGAGTAAAGCACCCTCACTGCTGCTGTTGCAGAAACAGTAATAGCCAAAGACGAAGAACAAAGTGGTGGCAGCAACAATCGTTAAAAATGCCAACAAATCACTGATTTCCAAGACTTTAGAGGCTAATGCTTGAACAAAGGTTTCCATGGTGAATTCAGTGGTTATGAAAGATCTGAGAGAGCACGTACATGTTTCTTCGGAATGCGATGCAGTTTTATGTGACGAGTGTGGACAGTCATTGGGACCCAACTTTTCGCAAAAACTTTCATCTGAAAATAAGCAAAAATAAAATTGGTAAGGCCAGCGTCATCTTACATAAAGTAGTTCGATGATTTTAAAATAAAACTAAGTCTTTGATGTAATTAAAAAGAACGACTAATTTTTTAAAAGATAAGAAATACACAAAAACAGTTTTAGTGTCTAATATATTGATAAGACCAATAGGTTATGACGAAGCTCTTATTGCTCAATTATTATTTCAATTTAAATGACTAACATTGAGACATCCCATACAATTGTATTATAAATTTAGTGGACAAATTGGTTGTGAACCTTTTTAACTTCAAAAAATTTAAAACATAAATCATTTACATACCTTCTTCGTTGTTGGTCTTATATAATGAGTTTGGCTGTTTTCCACCCATATCCGGATACAAAATCTTCTTCAACTCATTGTCATCCATCTCTGCAGCTGGATATTTTGGTTTTTTGTTATTGGGCAATATATTGTTAACGGTATCCATAATCGTTGCAAATAATCCCTTATCTTTCTTTTCAACAATATCATCATGATGATGTGATGGCGTTAATGAAGGTAATGATTTTGGTTCTTCCTCATTTGACTTAGGGGCTTCTGGCGTTACTATGGGCTGTAGAGGCTCAACATAGCCCTGACCTTGAGAAACGTCATCATAATAAGAATTGTCAACAGCTTGAGGTTTAATTGTTGACACCTCCGGCTCACTGGCTATAGGAGTATCGGTAATTGTTGTCTCCGGTTTAACAGTTGTTGTTTCGTCTTCATAGCTCGTAGAATGCTGCCCATAATAGTCAAAATTTGGTGTTTCAGTAGGCAATGAGGGCTCAGTTGTGTGTTGATAATAATCATGTTGAGACGGCAATGGTGTGTTGGATGACTCGACATTGGGATAATGTTGTGCGGGATTTACATAATCATTAGTATTTTGTTGTTGATAGGGATCACTGTACCCAGGGGGTATAGCGGTACTAAGCAGAGGTATTTCAGTTGGTTGTAACACGGGTTCTTGGTGGGGATCTACATTGGCAGGGGGGTTTTCTGGGATAGGCATTTGTGTTGAAGTTGGAAGTGGTGGTTCCTGGTTTGTTGGTGTTTGGGGAGATTCGGTTACATAGGGAATGCCTTCTGTGGCAGTTGTGGGCAATGGGTTTGGGGAATTAGGAATTTCGGTGTTAGCGGTTACCTCCTGTGTATTGTGTATACTATCAATAGCTATTTCCATTGGCATTTCGTTTTGTACTTGATGCTCACTTACGGGTTGCTCACTGGTGTTTGGAGAACTAGGAATTTCGGTATTAGCGGTTACTTCCTGTGTATTGTGTATATTATCAATAGGTATTTCCATTGGCATTTCGTTTTGTCCTTGATGCTCACTTACAGGTTGCTCACTGCTGTTTGGTTCACTATCATTTGAGCTAGGTTCATCTGAAGTGATTTCAGAGGTTGTATTCTCAGGAAGACTTTGTTCATTCGATATGTTGGTAGCATGGAAAATATCTTCTTTTTCTTCTTTGTTGGCAGTATTTAAGGCTTCAGTGGTGGGGGTAGAGGTCTTAGAGGAATTCTCCTGTTTCAATATTTCTGCATTCTTATCTTCGATAGGAACTGTTTCTTGATGTTGTTCTTTTGAATTTACATCCTCTGGTGTTGTTTCATCACCGTGCTTTAAATCAGATTGGTGCACACTTTCAACACTTGGTTCGGTGGAAACTTGTTGTTGTTGTTGTGTTCCCTCAGTAGTTGAAGCAGCACCACCATCCACTATGCTTGAAGCAATAGTTGTAGAGTCCGATGAGTTTTCAGCAACATTGTTGGGGGTTTCAGGGATTTCATCAGTCTTTGTTGATGTATTCTCTGTTGAAGAGGATTCAGTAGTATCTGCCGGATTACTTTCCGAGGTCTCCACGTGGGAATTAAGTGGGACTGGTTTCATCGGCTCTTGGAATAATTTTTCTTTACTTTTGGTATCATCATTATCGATATCTTCATCATTATCGATTTCATCATCATCATAATCGCCTATTTCTCCATCATCATCTTCCTCGGACATTCCCATGGTGGAACCCATTGTTTGCTGTTCATACTCATCATCATTTGATGTGGGAATTCTAGTTCCATCAACAACTATTACATCTTCCTGGACTGGTGTTGCAGTTCGTTGCGGCAGTTCCTCGCTGTTACCAGTAGGACTACTGTTTATAGCTTCCTCTTGAGAACTTACAACCGCGTCATCTAAAGAAGCTGTAGGCGTTGTAACTTCCACGCTTACTTCAGGTGCAATTGAAGTTGGAGTTGCAGGAACTAAGGCCTCGGGACTACCAGGCTGAACTACATCTACAATATGTTTAAGATCCTTTTCTTTAATAAGTATCCGTTCCTCCCTAATGTAATCCTTAGGTGCATATCCTTCACGTCCATTTACCTCAACTCCCCACAGGGAAGGATTGGAGCCAGCGCTCTTCGACTTGATGCGTATAGGCGCATTGATTTGAAACGAAACCATTCCCACCTCTCCCGCTCTGTAACTAATTTTCCCCTTGCCCAGTGATATGATTTCTGAAAAGAAGAAAGAGAAAAAAAGACATAAGAATTGCCACTTTTCTAACTTGGTCACTTTTAGCGATTACACACCAAGGCAAACCCCTTTCACTTACCTTTACATTTTTCATCGGCACACAGCCGTTTATCTGAAAGTCCATAGGCTGTGCCCCAAAAAACTAGGGTAAATACTAACGTCAGTGCTAATAAATTCGTTGTTGGTGCTTTGGTTATTTTCCACATTTTGCATTGCGTTTTTCGCCACAAATATAATTGCTAGAGACAAAACTATTCACTTTTTATTTGTCTTGTGTAAATTTATAATTTTTTCGTTCGCCACATCACACATATAAAAATGAGTTTTTATTTGCAGAGTTGCCTTTTCTCGTATGTCAGTGTTTGACAGCTAATAAGTACTGAATACCCGGTACCTATTAGTGGTGGCAATGGCACGATGATTACTTTGTTTTCTAGAGCTTTTCCAAAGCGAAAGCTTTCATTATACAGGTCAAATCAGAATAGGTTTTTTTGGCACGTTCACTCTGCTATGGATGGGTCTATGTTACCACTTTGATTTATATTTTCGACGAACTATTTAGATTTGTAGATAATAACATTCATTTTCTTTTGGGCTCTATTAAGGCCTTGACATATTGAATGCTATATGCCTTGTCACGCATAATCGATAAAACAACCGTAATAAACTGTTTTATCGACACTGAATACAAAAGCCATACATGAATCGAAAATATTGAAGTCACTCAAATCTAAAACGTTCAAAATATTAATTGGTCTGTTTTAGAACTGCAAGAATGTAAAAGTTTTTACTACAATAACCTATTTTCCTTTAAGATATCGAAAAAAATTGAAAATAGAGGAACAGGAACAGTAAACTATTCCATAACAAGTCATAAATCCTGGGCAGTTCTTGAAAAACGATGAAATATGTTTTCGAGCAAAAGTTGAGTGGGTCAAAAATTACAATTGTGTAATTGAATATTCTTCAATATCATCGTGCTTGGAACAGTTTTCTATTCAAATGCACCATTTACAGTCATACAGTAGTTCATTTTTTTAACATTTTAGGTTTGAGTGACTTCAATATTTTCACTCATACCCCTGAAACGACACAGCTGCATCTGTTGATTCGATTTTTTCGGAAATAAGCGATGAGAGCATTCCGTTTCATATATTTTCATTTGCCTATGCACAAATATTTATACCCTACATCACATAGTGGTAAAGGTATTATGTCTTTGTGCATTTGTTAGTTACATGGAGAAGGAAGCGAGATAGACCGATACATACTTTTGAGGATCATCGTAGACTCACTTTCTGAGTCGATTTATACAGGTCAGTATGTCTGTCCGTCCGACCATGTATTTTTGTGAACAAAATGCAGGTCGCATTTATTATCCGATTGAGATGAAATTTTCCAATCAATATTTATTTTGCCCAAGGGCGAACCCCATTGATATTGGAGATAATCGGATTAGATTTACATATAGCTCCCATATATCTTCAACTGATTTCGGGTAAGTTGTGAACAAAATGGCCAATATAAGTCCAAATGACCTGCATTTTGGTACATCCGACCTAATTCAGTCTAGAAGCAAGAACATCAAATTTGGAGAAAATCGGTAAAGATATAGCTATAGCCCCCATCATCCGATGGTGCTCAAGTTCCTTATATTTGAAATATACACCGCACAAGAATGATATTTCTTACAAGCTATTTGGTACCAGATATCAGATACAGCCCAGAAATACTTCTGTCAAATTTTATCAAGATCGGTTCAGATTTGGATATAGCTCCCATATATATTTTCAACAGATTTCGACTTTTAACTTTTCCTTGCATTAACGTTTGGGAACATGATATGTCAAAAAAAATTTAAATGTTTTTCAAAATCGAAGGTGGTAATGATATGCATTTGTTTAACAATTTAACATAATTTAAAAAACTTGAATAATTTTTCCTTTAAAAATTTCAGTTTCAAAATTGGTTTGACAGTTAATTGTCATGTGTAGGTTGAAATAACCTTTGGTTGAACATACAATGTTTGGGACATAGGACTTTTGCTTGCATTACAGTTATGAGGTCCGCAAAGAAAATTTCGGCGTGTAGCAAATGGAATGACCAAAAATATGTTTTCCCTTTTTATAACGGTGTTAGGTGCAAAGCTGCTGATTCAATATATTTTTGCTGGGTATGTATGAAAAAAAAATATCTCACTAACACACATATTTTTGAGCATCTTCACATCAATTCGTGGTGATGATCATTAACTAATTGCAGGCAAAAATCTCTCTGGCGTTATATTTCTCATTGAATGGTGGAGCAAACTGAGAGAAGGAGAGCCCATCATCAGACACGCAAAAAATGAATAGCACTGGCAAAGACAATCGATCGAATTTATTTCTCCTAGTTTTAATAGTCTTCAGCATTTTAACGGGAAAGGTTGTCGGTGCGGTTGATTCGCGTGTTTCGGTTTTAAGACAAAGTGAAAGGAAAAAGTACGTTGTATTTTGCAATTTTCACAAACGAATGGTGGACAAAAAATAGTTTGTCAAAATACTCACACACACTTGCAACAATAATATTTCCTCAAACACATCGCTGCGCACAGCTGTGGAGATTTTCCAAAAGCTAAACATAAGTGCTGTGGTTGTTTTAAATGAAAATGGACGGCAGTTTATAAAATTGATTAAAGTAAAATTAGTTTTTTTTTTTTATTAATTTTCTTCATAAATTCGCTGGTGTGATGCAACGACAAGCGACGCATTGCAATGAGTGTGTAAAACGAAAATAGTTTTTTATATTTATTTTTTTTTACTTTTCTATCGCCCTCTCTGTTGTTTATTTACATAATAAACTTAACACAAATTACAAATGATGTGTGCCTGCGTGCGTGTGTGGTCGGCAATTTCTTTTTTTCTTCAAATGAAATAAAAAAAAAGGGGGGGGGGGGGGCAACAACAAAACCGCGTTATCGACCAAATGTGTGCAGTGTGACCGAAATTCTTTAGCATTGACTTTGAGTGTAACAAGTGGCCGGCCGGGTCATCATCACAAATGTGTAACATATATTAGCGATTTGAGTATAAGAACCAATTAACCAATTAATTGTGCTACATCACTTTCGTAATCATAGCTGAATTTTCTCAATGCCTTGTCAGTCTTAAATATTCTAGTACCTATTTGAAATTGTATAGAGGAGTTGTTTTACGGCATTTTCTATTACTATTTAATATTGTAAAAACTAAAGTGAGCACTGTCGATCAAAGATAAAATAATAAATAAATTGCCACTCTCGCCGGCTCAAGGTCAGCTTTTTTCGAATGTTGAACGAAAAACTTATTTGTACACTTGAACGTAATACGCACTTTGAAACCAATCAAATTAATTGCAACTTTCATTTCACTTACTATCAGTAGGGTATCATTTTTTTGCAATTACCGATTTGCATGTGTCTTTAATTGTTGACAAATTACAATATTGTTGTAGACCCACTTTAAGGACCAGGGTATACCAATTATTTTTATTTGGTGTGCAACATTTCTAAATACGAAAAAAACAAAATTTTTCGAACGCGATTTTTTGAAAAATTTTCAAGATTTTGTCGCCTATTTTAAGCACGTATTTTCCGATTAAAACTAATCATACGTAGTCATTTGAAGGAAGTCGAACACATTTATCTAATTTTATGCGAAATCATAAATTTAGATAAATACCATATTCATATCAGATTTCTGGTTAAGAGAAATATTAAGATATACCAAATTGTAATGAATCACTGACTTTTTTCGCAAGTTATGACAGATAAAAGTTTTGAAAAATGTGGCCCTTTGTGGGTGAAGGGGTTTGCAGATATATATCATCTTCTTCAGATCCTGTGATAGCAAACATATTTGGATGTCTGAAATTTGAAGAGGGTTGAATGCTTATTTCGCTTTCTCTGAGCGCTTTGTTTTTCAAATTCTTGAACCCAACAAAGTCAAACGACATAATTTTTACATTTGTTTTAAATTTTATTGAATGAAAACAAAAAATATTTGACATAGCACCAAATTTTAAAATAAGTTTAGATTTGTTCGAATTGATCACCTCTGGCAAGAATTATGGCTTTCAAACGGCCAATAAAACCGACACACGCTGCCCGAATGTTGCTCTGCGGTATTTTGGCCCATTCGCGGCGCAGCGCTTGCTTGACGTGATCGACACTTTGGCATTTTTTAGTGCCAACCTTGTAAACATTCATGGGTGGCGAGTGCGATAGTGCTGAGTCCTGTTGGAATGTCCAAAGTCTGCGGCCAAAATTTTTACATGCCCAAGGCTTTAATACACCCACCAGAATATTTTCGCGATAATATTCGGCATTTATTCTAATGCCTCGGTCGATTAATAAGAGCGGAGAGCAACCAACGACTGTTATGGCGGCCCGGGTTTCAATCAAGTCGCTTCTTTACTTTTCGAACTATTTCTGCATATGTTGCTGGGGGTGGTACAAGAAGGAATGGTCCGATCTCTACCATCTTTATAACAGACCAAGCCAAGTCTGAATGGAATCGGATTAACATTTCGTATTTCATGAGCTTCATGAATATTCAAAATTTTTTAACCTTGGTATAAACTTTAACGATTTTAAACAATAATAAATTCAAAACAGATATACATCGTTACTTTTAGAAATATTATTTTTGTTAATGTTATTTCAATCGGTTTTTGGTATTTTCGTGGGAATCGTTTTTTAAAATATATTAAGCCATAGTATTGTCACGATTTAAACCACATTTTCGGAATTGTTTCAAATTTTTTTTTTTTTTTTTTTTTGTTCGTAATGGGTACCACTTCCTATGACAGAAAATTACCTATGAAGGTCCACATCTTCGTATATACCTCTTATAACTTTACTATTCTATATTCGGGATTTTGATAATTTACTAAACATTTTTCAGCGGAATTTCTGCTGATTTCTCTTTTGTGACGAGCTTAATGATCTGAAATTTGCAGTGAGACTTTATCACGCACTCATCATTATGCGACGCATTTCGCTGTTTTGATACGTTTTCAGCGTTACACCTTTTGGGTTCTGTGTACCTGATCCAGTTAGATTAAATGGAAAAAGCTATGCCATCATCTCAGTTCTACTTTTGTACGTGCCGTTGTAATAACAATCACCCGGCTTGTTATCTTGAAAGGAAAATAATTTCTCCCGCTTACTTTGTTGTTTGCAATTGTAAAATTATTAGTTATCTGTGAAAATACAACAATAAAAAATAGCTTTCACGTAACAGATTGCCTGCACATGCAACTATTCCCCTCAAGTTAATTCAAATTTACAAATTGAATGCACTTGAAAAAGTTTTACAGTTGTGCACAGTTTTTTTTTTTTTTTTTTTTGTTTTTCGTTGCAAAATATTTAATCGTAGCTAAATGCCGTTATGGCGTGCATTTTAGTCGTAATTAACATTATTTCATGATTTTCCTGAATTGTCTCCCAAAATGGATTTCGATTCGAAAAAGCAAATATTTGAGGAATGGATAGCATGTGAGCTTTCAATCTGTAAAGAGTGATCAATCAAACAGTTATGAGTTAAACTAATATAGGTGTATGTATTTATATAGAGAATAAAAAACGTCAGTTTGGGTAGTTACAACTTTCGTATAAAAATATCGATGTTTTACGGATAAATGGATGATAGGTTATAAGGAATTCGGATAAGAAAAAACACATGAGTAACTAAAAGACCATTTTGAAAACAGAGATACCAATATTATCATAATTTTATCCCATCTTATCCGATTTAATTTTATTAATATATGTGTATGTATTTTCCATTAATTAATTTATTGGTTTCTAGGCGACAAAGTTAAGAGCCAATATTTGCTGTAAATTAACAACTCAAAGAAAACTTCTTACGAGTACATTTATATTGGTCACATTCGCCAGATAGTAAATTTTATCAATAAAAACTTGTATGTGTGTAAGCACTAATCAATTGGTCACTTCATCACTAAGTAGCAACACGTTTTACTCACATGCAATGCTTAATCAGACTAAACAAGAAATCAAAAAAACAAATGCCCACCATGACACAGCAAAAAAGTGCGAAAAACATCCGAATACAAACAAACAAAATGACTACAACAAATTCCGTTATAAAACTAAATTTCAAATCGTTTCAGTTTTAATGAACCACAACTGTTTTTGAGCACACGCTTACCATAACCATCGCCGCTGCCATTCGATCATCAAGCAATTCCAGATGTTGGCTACAGCTCTAATATGGATTGCGGCTTTACTAGCTGTTATTGGTCCCCTGCCATTAACCGTTGATGGAAGAAGACATAATTTAAAGATTTTAGGTCTGTTTCCCCATCCTGGCATCAGTCACTTTCACTTCTTTCATCCGATATTAAGAGGTCTGGCGGAAAGGGGACACGATGTCACAGTTGTAAGTCATTTCCCCGACAAAAGTCCACCAGTGGGTTATACCGACATACCATTGACGGGAAAAGAAACATTAGCAAACAGTGTGGATCTGAAGGTAAGTTTCTTGTATTAGTGTGTGTATTGTGGTATGCTGTTGTGATGTTGTACCTATCAAACCATAACCTAAGACAAAGCAATCCAAACATATTAAAGAAACAAGTAAAAAAGCTGTAAGTTCAGCCGGGCCGAACTTTTAATACCCTCCAGAATTTGGCAATCTTAAAAAAAACGTTTAAAATTCTGTTAAAATCTTAAAAATACCGAATGTAGCCGTTATATTAGGGTCTATACGACGACGTGGACTTGCATAGGTAACTTTTGTCATAAGCCATTACAATATGCATATGCGAAACTTGAAATTGGTGAATAATGTAGCTAAAATCTTTAAAATACCAAATATGGGGCTATACCAAAACGTGGACCTACATGGTCCATTTTCAATAGCAAAAGTCCTGCAGACATAATGTAAATTCGAGTAAATTCAGACCGACATACGGACGGGCATCGCTAAATTTACATCGAATTTTATGCTGATCAAGAATATATTTACTTTGTGGGATCTAAAATGTATATTTCGAGGTGTTACAAACGGAATGACAAGTTTAGTGTACCCTCTATGATGGAGGGTATAACAAGTAATCAAAGGCTATAGTCCTGCGGTGTCGACCATGTGATACCCTACAACTCTATAATATATTGGAAAACCTCCTTCGGCCCAAACATATTTACGACTATTATTTGAAATAACGTAATACCGTCCCGCACAAATGTTGCCTTTTATATATATGATATATGAGATTGTATATATTTTGCTATATATTCGATATATGAGCATCTTTGTAACGGTCAGAAGTAACACTTTCGTGCATTTGTGATTTCGCCACGATTTAAAATATTCGCGGTTTAGTGGAAATTGTAACAGCCGATGACCAAACAAAATGGTAGATGTCTGACCAGCCCTAAACTCTAGCCCCATGCTATTGGTCTATAATTGCGATCTGAAGAGCAATTGCAAAATCAGGAAATGTTTCTGTTTTTGGTCCTTTTCAAGATCGACTCAGCTCGGCGAGATTGAAAGATCCATATATAGTTTTCTATGTCGGGAACCAATATTTCGATGTGTTACATAATTTTTGGCCCAATCAAACTTATAATTCCTGCACCACATAGTGTTGTAGGGTATAAATATTCATTTGTTTATTTTTCTTTTTCTTATTTCCATAAGTGATACAAAAATCGTCTATATCTACAGATCAATAAAAACCATCGTTCATAAATTAATTGCGATGAGCTTTACGTCAATAGGCAAATATATTGTATAGTTGTAAGAATGTCATTAGTTAAATTATTTTTAAAAGACCTCGACCTTACGACCTTACTTATGTCATAAAGGAGTCACCGACATGGGCATATACACACTTTGTCCAGAACAGCTAAGTATTTCTTCCTATACATTCGCCAATTCTTTATTTAACTTACTTCCTACTGTTTTTTAAATCGCTCTTGATAGCGATTTCATGATCAGCAATTTTCAATTTTGTTCACATGAAAAACAGAACACGTTCATTATTCTGAGATCAGCACGTTTCAAAATGTCATACACTGACAAACTTTTCTTTTAATTCTGTCACCATTTATTTTATACCTCATTGAACTTTGCAATTTTACAAGTCATACTTTTCATGTACGGATTTGTATATATAAAATATCAGAAATTTACATTTAGAACTAGACATGTGATCCGTTTAGACATCTGCCCAGAATTTAAAATCTGTTCATATAATACCTATCACGTTTTCAGTTCGAAATGCGCGTTAAATGGGTAGAGGAACCTGTGAGTAAGTTGGAAATCATAGTCGCATTTTTATTGATCTCTGACAAAATGCAGTTAATTTCCACGTTTAATTTGTTTAACAACACATATTTTAATGCAAATTCACGTTCTGCTCTATTTTGGAATTCTTAATCTTTAATATGAACCTCTTTCTTATCACCTTATAAATACGTTACAACTTTATCAATGACTTGCAAATATTTCGCATTTTCTCTTCTAGGTTTTTGAAAATCGCCGTTTCTACAATCACTTCCTGGAGTTCTTCTTACTTTACGAATGGGGTAAGGAGGCATGCAATCACACCCTTCGATCAGAAGCCCTCTACAAAGTTATGCGCCAAAAGGTACGCTACGATGTTATATTGCTGGAACAGTTCAACTCGGATTGTATGATGGGTGTGGCTCATATGTTGCAAGCTCCCGTTATTGGTCTCAGCAGCTGTGCTATGATGCCGTGGCACTATGAACGCATGGGTATGCCCATCATACCTTCTTATATACCGGCATTGTTTTTGGGACAGTCCGAAGATATGTCTCTGGGTGGTCGCATTGCAAATTGGATTAGCTTTCACGCTTTGAATTTAATGTACAAGGTGTTTTCCATACCGGCAGCTGATGCCTTGGTCCAATATAAGTTTGGTCATGACGTGCCATCAGTCGGTGAATTGGTGAAAGAGACAACCTTGATGTTTGTGAATCAACATTTTTCGTTAAGTGGAGCAAAACCGTTGCCACCCTCGGTAATCGAATTGGGAGGTGTACACATACAGAAAGCTAAACCGCTCGACGTTGATCTACAAAAGTTTTTGGATAACGCTGATAATGGTGTGGTGTTCATAAGCTGGGGCTCTATGATCAAAGCTGAGACTTTACCCGTTGCCAAGCGGGATGCCATAGTAAGAGCGGTCAAACGTTTAAAACAACGTGTAATTTGGAAGTGGGAAAACGAAACTTTGGCCAATAAACCCGATAATATGTACATAAGTAAATGGCTGCCGCAGAGGGATATTCTCTGCCATCCGAATGTGAAGGTGTTTATGACACATGCAGGTCTCATGGGCAGCTCAGAGGCAGCATACTGTGGTGTTCCTGTAGTGGCAACACCAATGTACGGTGATCAGTTCCTAAATGCAGCAGCAATGAAACAACGCGGCATGGGTGTCGTTCTTAACTATGAAGATATCGATGAAAACACGGTTTTGAAGGCCATTAAAAAAGTCCTGGAAAAACAGTAAGACTTCAAGAAAGTTTTATTCTATACTCAGACTGCAATTAATATTTTTTTTGTATGTTTCAGATATTATGACAATGCCAAAATGATCTCGTATGCCTACAAACATCGACCAAACACAGCCTTGGATACAGCTATTTGGTGGGTGGAATATGTGGCCAATACTGAAGGAGCTCCTTTATTGAAATCCAGCTCCACATACATGTCCCGTTTTGTCTACTACTCTCTGGACGTTTATACCGTTTTGGGATTGGTTGTTCTTACTTCAGTCGTTACATGGGGACTACTGATGCGCAAATTAAAAACTGCCACACGTAATAGAGGGACAACTAAAGTTAAATCGAATTAAATTCTAAAACTGACTTCATATACAAACTAATGTTAGGATTGTTGTGATAACTCCCACTCACATTCAGCAGAAGTGACGATTTTTATACCAAATTGGACTATTTAAAAGTTTTGTAATATCTGACCCATACTAATCAAATGCAATATGTATCATTTTTACTAGAAAGAAAAATTTATTTTGCAGAAAGCACCACGTAATGCCTTTTACGAAATTTGTTATTATAGTTAATAGATTTTTTTAGTTTATATATTGTTGATAATTATTAGGTAATAAACCGTTTAGTTTGTTAGAAAAATTTGAAGTTGTTATTATTTGCACTCATTAGAGAGGGTCATAGTTCTCTGTGACTGAAAAAACATAAACGATTTGCCATAGACTAATGATTATCTAGAAAACGGAATGTTGGTATGCAAGAGCGTATTGTGCGCCACCTGCATAAAAAAAAACAAAACTAACTTTCCGTTGTCTATATTTTCATTTGTATATGCTATGGTTTTGTAACCAAACTAAAAACCGCTATTGTGATTGAAAACCACCCATACTGTCATAATTTTTGTTTACGTTTTCACATGCTTAATTCTTCAATCTATTTTTGTATTTCATTTGTTATAGAACATGAAACAGAGGCTAGTCTTAATGGGTGACCCATTGCATAGGGCATCGGTGTCAAACATGCACCTTATTTAATACACCTTAAATGTCAACATTTTTAAATTCAAGTCACAATAGTGAATTTTGACATTTACTCAAGTAAACAGACAACAGCGCCATTTGCGTGTTGAAAAGTAACGCCGATAAACACTAAACAAATCGTGAAAATATAAATTGGGGACATCGTCTCTCAAAGAGCAAAATAATTCCACACTTGACAAAGGCACTGCGGCTGGAGTAGTACCATTCCTGGACACATTCTACATTAAAAAAGTTCATTCCCAAAAAAAAAAAAGAAATATGGCTAAAACCCGTGTTTATGTTGTTGGTGTTGGTATGACCAAGGTAAGTTAGTAAATTTCGAAAATGTTGCAAATCTTCGGTGCATAAAACGAAAAACAAAGATACTGATAATGAAGTACATTAGCTCCATTGAACTTTGATCTGTACTTAATATTTACAAAAATTGTTCGTGTGGAATTGTTTTGATAATTATTTTAATATAAATTCCCCTATGACCAGAGGTCGCACCCATTAACATCTGTGGACCTCTCCTGCGGCTTATGTGTGATTAGCCAATGTGTATATAAAGATAAGAAAAGACATCCAAAAATAGTTGCCTATACCTACTAGTAATCTCTATTTCCAGATTAACTTTATCTTAAGTATCGATGTTACTTGTGATTTGGAAAGTTCAATGTTCAACATATAAATTTATTTGTGAACTTTAAAGCTTTTATTTATATTATTCTTGTTATGTACACATTTTCTATGAAGTTGCAATCCAAAATTTTTGTAATAATATGGAAATACATTTATATTGATGATTGTTTTATTATTTTTAGTTTGAAAAACCTGGTCGCCGTGCTGATGTTGATTATCCCGATTTTGCTAAGGAAGCTATTACCAAAGCCTTAGCTGATGCCAAAATTTCCTACAATGAAGTACAACAAGCTACTGTTGGTTATGTATATGGTGATTCTACATCGGGACAACGTGCCTTGTATGAAGTTGGCATGACCGGAATCCCCGTCTTCAATGTTAACAACAATTGTTCGACTGGATCCAGTGCCCTGTATTTGGCTAAACAAATTATTGAATCAGGAAATGCCGATTGCGTTTTGGCTTTCGGTTTTGAGAAAATGGAACGTGGTTCGTTGTCTGCTAAGGTAAGACCTAAAGCAAAAGAAACAGGCGAAAATTTGAGGTATTCCAATCAGATTGGAATACATTTTCAAGGTTAAAAATGTATTAAAATGTTATTTATTTCATTTATTTAGAACATAAAATCCTTCACGGCCTAGATAAATATATTACAGCTAATAATCTGAAATCAACATTAAATATATATCATTTGTACCCCAGAATATATTAATCTATTTAAGCAAAACCAAAAAAAGTAATATGGGGTTTCAGTGAAATACTTTGTTCGGTGTTCCTTGTTCATGTTATGGAGAGCATCTGTTAAAACTGTAACATGTTTAAAAAATTTTTGTCTAAATCTATTAGCCAATTATTTTTCTTAACAAATGTCCAAAATTGTATTCAGTGTACATCATGTATTCCTTGTTAGGCATCTACTACTAATAATTTATACATTTCAGTACTTTGATCGTGCCAATCCCATGGAACGACACATTAGTGAAATGTCCGAATTAGCTGAAATTGGACCTGGACCAATGGCTGCTCAAATTTTCGGCAACGCTGGCAAGGAACATATGAAAAAATATGGCACCAAACCTGAGCATTTCGGTAAAATTGCCTGGAAGAACCACAAGCACTCCGTCAACAACCCGTAAGTATATTTATTTTTCGTTAATTTATGGCAATACAAATTCCACATCAGTTCATTATAAAGGTCTTTCTACACATTCATATCATTGTTAGCTTATCTTATCGCAAACATTCCCTGACTACACAAATTCCAGTTCAATAAAACCTAATAGAATAAATTATGCATTTCTAATGTATTCTTTCTAATCCTTTCTAGCTATTCCCAATTCCGTGATGAATACTCTTTGGAGCAAATTATGCAATCACCTGTTGTGGTCGAGGGTATTCTTACCAAATTGCAATGCTGTCCTACTTCAGATGGTGCTGGTGCTGCAATTTTGGTTTCCGAAGCCTATGTTCATCGTTTTGGTTTAGAAAACCAAGCCGTTGAAATCGTTGGCATGGAAATGGCCTCAGATCCTGAATCAACTTTCAAAGATAAATCTCTCATGAAAATTGCCGGTTATGACATGACAAAAATGGCTGCTCAACGTTTGTTCGCCAAATCTGGCTACAAGCCCACTGATGTTCAGGTTGTTGAATTGCATGATTGCTTCTCAGCCAATGAATTGATTACCTATGAAGCTTTGGGTCTTTGCCCCGAAGGTGGTGCAGGCGAACTCATTGATCGTGGTGATAATACCTATGGTGGCAAATACGTTGTCAATCCCAGTGGTGGTCTTATCTCAAAGGGCCATCCTTTGGGTGCAACCGGTTTGGCCCAGTGTGCCGAATTGTGCTGGCAATTGCGTGGTTTGGCTGAAAAACGTCAAGTCAAGGATGTCAAATTGGCCTTGCAACACAATTTGGGTCTGGGTGGTGCTGTAGTTGTTACTCTCTATCGTTTGGGTTTCCCCAAATCAGCTGGTGTCGTTAATAATTTGACTTCTGCTGCAACCCATCCCACTGGAGAAGGATTCAAGGTTACACCACTCTTGAAGTTGTTGGAAGAAGAAATGCAAAAAGACGAAGAAAATCTTATCGAAAAGGCACGTGCAATTTATGGATTTAAGGTCACTAATGGCCCAGGTGGCAAAACCGGATTCTGGGTTATTAATGCCAAGGAAGGCAAAGGCAAAATCACCTATAATGGCAAGGAAAAATGTGACGTTACATTCATAGTTTCCGACGAGGATGTCACCGAATTGATGACTGGTAATTTGCCACCCCAAAAGGCTTTCTTCCAGGGCAAAATTAAAATCCAAGGAAACATGGGCGTAGCCATGAAACTGATGAACATTCAAAGCGCCGCTCAAAGCCGTTTCGAAACCTTGCGTGCAAAATTGTAAATATTGAGTAAATGTTATTTGTATGAAGTCCATGTATGGAAATAAAAATGAAAGAGAACGAGGTGATTGTATGTATTTAGTAATAAGATATATTGTGAATATTCCATTTTATTTTTGTTAAATAAACTTTTTTATAATGTAGAAAACAATTTGTGACTCTTTTTTAAATAACTAAACTGCATGCTACGTAATAAACAGCTATGCACCACCTGTTAAAATTATTTCAGTGACAGCTCATTATATTGTTTACAAGCGTACAAAAGCATTTTGGTGAGAATTTTCCAGAAAAAAATATTCGTGATGGAATTTAAGCGTGATAGTGTGTTTTCTTTACAAGTGGCTATTGTTAGAGCAATCCAGCATTTAAATGTGAATAAATCTTTTGTGTCTCGTATCACCGTGATACTGGTAGCGTAGCCCGAGTGGACGGAAGAAAACAGCAGCATCATCAGGAATGGTTCGAAAATTAAGGAAGCGACTTGATCAAACCCGCGTCGCAGTGAAAATAGTCTCAAAAGTGCTAAAGAGTTGCTTCGCTTGACCGAAAGTGGTGAACTAATTTAATTAATCGATCCTGGCATCAGAATAAATGCCGAATATTATCGCGAAAATTTTCTGGAGGGTGTATTAAAGCCTTGGACATGCAAACATTTTGGCCGCAGACCTTGGACATTCCAACGGAACTCAGCACCATCGCACTCAGCACCATCGCACTCAGCACGCGCCACCCAAGAATGGTTACAAAATGCGGTTCCTCGCTTTATTTCCAACGCACAATGGCCACCAAAATCGCCGAATACCAGTCTGTTGGACTATTGAATATTTTGGAAAGCAAAGCTGGCACTAAAAAATACCAAAGTGTCGATCACCTCAAGCAAGCGCTTAGCCGGGAATGGGCCAAAATACCGCTGAGCAACATTCGGGCAGCGTGTGACGGTTTCATTGGCCGTTTGAAGACCATAACTCGTGCCAAGGGTGACCGATTTGATGCTATTTTTTTGCTTTCATTCAATAAAATTAAAAAAAAATGTAAAAATTATGGCGTTTGACTTTGTTGCAGTTTTTTTTATCTCACCCCGTACATTGTGGTTGAATTTAAATTCTGGTTAATGGTCAGGAATTCCGTTGGTTAAATCAAACAGCCAAAATTACAACTACAGTATGATTATTTATTTATTTATGGTCTTAAGACTACTTCTTAAATATGTTTGTGTATTATACGCTATGCCGTTTAATTCTCACTTATATCTCTTCTTGTTTTGACAGTGAGATAATATATATATATATATTTATGTTATATATCGTGTGCTTCAAATTGATGTTATTGTTTTTTATCTGTTTCTCTGCGATATATATATGTATTCACTTACATACATATTTGTTCTGCTATCCATTCATTGTCTTATTGGTAAATAATAAAAGTTTGATTTGATTTTTTGTTTTGCTGGCTGATTTGTTTGTATGTTTGAAAAGTGCAAAATATATCTGAGTGTGTTTAAAAAAATCCAACACAGTGAGCGATGGATGGATGCATGCACCCACACATCGACAACAAGCGATTTTGCTAACTGATATCTGAACCATACAAATATATAACGTATTTATATTGTTTATAACTTTATGGACCTATTATGTATAATTATATAAGTGTACATTGTTATACAAAATTTTAACACATATTAAAAGAAATGTGCCATGTTGTTGATGTTATGGGTGTGTATGCGTATAGCTTTGAACAAATAACTGTGATAAGATGACTTCAAAGTATATTGGATTACAAGATCTAATGTTTAAGTAATTAGAAATCGATAAAAAGGAAACGAGTTTTAATAAATAAAAGTGTTTAGTTAATATGCTGCTTATCCAACGTATATACCATAAAATAAATATGAACAAATTTTAATAGTTGGACAGGAAATGAAAAGAATGATTAGGATCATGTTAGTGAAGCATAAACTTGAGATAAAATACAATATGTCTAAAATATATATTTATGTACATACATAATTCTATAAACAGTAAAAACTACAAAATGTTTTATAGGATCTGAGGAAAACAAAGGAATATGGAACAGTTCTAGTTCAGACAATGCGAACACAATATAATATTTATATTGAATTCGAAATGAATTACCCTTCCAAAAGTATTTGGAAAGTTATGGCTAAACTAAAGATTCATTTTCCACCAAAAGTTGGCGAATAAAAACCAATCTTAATCTTGTCTCAATTATACATAACTTTTCAATTGAGACGATGATGATGTATGCCCATTGAAGTTCAAAATGTAGTCCTAACAAAATTTACAATTAACTCAAAAAATATTTCGTTCCCTTTGGCCGGATCGATGGCAACTCAATGCAAGGAAGATGTATAACTTATGGACGAAGATGACGAAGTACTACTGCTACTTGATGAATTGGTGCCACTAGTTGAACTGCTTGTTGTTCGACTATCCATGCACGCCAATATGGAACTTATGAGATCCGCCGAAGATTTATTGTGCTTATTGGAGGAAACTTTTGAAGCACTTTTTTGAGATTTCGAAGGGGTTCCTGATGAAGAGCTACTTGATGAAGAGACTTTTGACATCTTGATGGCTTTTGCATCTGTGCTGTGTGTGGGGGGTGGAGGTGGCGGAGGCTGTGGAGTGTGTGTGGGAGGCGGTGGTGGTAGTGGTGGCAAGGGAGGTAAGGGTGGTAACGGTGGATAGGTTTGATTGGAACACGCCACTGCTGTTGTCATTGGCATTGTGGTGGTTTCAATTTCTTCTGATATGATCACTTCCTCCTCATGGTCTACTACCAACTGAGGTTGTGATAGTATGATATCGTCAACTATGCTCTCTGTTGTATGGGGAGGTACAAGGGCTTCTTCAACGCTTATAATATTGTTTGGAGGAGCAGGTGTTGGTGATGGAGGGGAAGTTATGGTAGTAACTTGAATTGTGGTGGAGGTAGATGTAGATACAATATTCGGCAATTGGGAAGATGGTGCTGCGCTATTTGCAGGTTGAGGTTGTTGAAAGCTGCTTAGATGGGTTGATGATGCTGATGTGGAAACTTGTGGAGGAGGAGGTTCATCGGAAACTATTTGTACTTGTATTTTTATTTCTGGTTCTTTTTGATTTAGGCTATTCACATAAGCCTCTCGGTGTGTGAACGGCGTGGGAGGTACTAGAGGCATAGGTAATGCAGGCACTATTGGTTCTGGAAGTTTAACCTTATTACTGGGTAGATTACTGGAATTTGCCATAGGCACCACAGTGGTGGTGGACAGATTTTTTGTTGAGGTTGTTTCACTACTTGTTGCCACATCGGCGGAAGTTTTGTGCTTCTTGGGAGTCAGCGAAGAAGTTTTAGTCGATTTTACAGTACTACCTTCATCTTTATGTTTACGTTTCTCCTTCTTCTCCTTCGCATGTTCACCATCATTTGTCTTTGATTTTTTCGGCTTCTCTGTCTTGTTTGGTGATGGTGCTATTGTTCCAACTACTTTGTTTATCATATTATGTTCAATTACCATTTTCCGCATATCAATTTTGGGTTCCTCTTTCGTTGACTGTTTCTTTTTTGTTGGAGTTTCTGGATCATCTTTTACAGCGGTGGTAGAGTCATCGGTTCCACTCTCACTGGACAGGCGACTACGACTTTCCATGTCAATAAGCTTCTTCGTTTCTGATTTTTTAGCTTTACCCTCATGATTACGTTTGCAGGGGGTCTTTTTCGTGTGACTGTCATCATGAGAAATGGGATTTGGTAGAATTGTCTGCTTCTCTTTGTATTGTGGAGGTTCTGCCAATACTGGGTTGTTCTTTTCATTGATGACCTCTTGACCCGGATAATACTGACGTAACCTCAAGTGCCATGCTATAGAAATAAGAAAAAATATGCTATAGCTAAAAATAGTTTGCTTAGATTTCAATCTATTTACCAACACTGGTTACAGCCGTCACAGTTCGAAACTGGTGAATAATATTGCGTGGCAAAAAATATATATCATTGTCACACAATTTAATGCGAGCATAGCGTATGCCATCACGACGTAGCTGGTTTAGTTTGGCGTCTTCAATCCACTGTACGCATTGTGAAATTGGAGGCTCGTGCAAATCTAATTGCAATGTTCCCACAAGTTGGTTAAAATCTTGAGCTGCAAATGCCACCACATCTTTGGTAATGCGATTCTGGGTATAAGATTCGCCTCCATGGACGGCTTTGAGTATACCTAAAATGGTAATATAAACAATAATAATCAGATGCAGTTGTTGCTGAAGATCCGAAAATAAGTCAACGGCGTGACAGATAATACGCATCCAAACTTACCAACAGCTGCAGTTGTAATGCGTTCATGCCCATGGCCCACATGATCTGCATGAGCTTTAGTGCGATCTTCTATCATAGTTTCACGAGCCTCCGAGAGACGTGGTAAGTATTGCAAATTTCGTAATTCATTAATTCGTGTCCTGAAAGGCAAAACTTTACTGACACGAAATTTCATAAATCTCATTAAGTTACCTCTGACGCTTTAATGGTGTTTTGCTATTCAGCTCAGCTGTAGGCACCAATTGTTCGCCGGAACGTATCCATAGAATTGGACCATCGTTCGACAGTCGAGGATCAGTTTGTAATATTGAATATGGTCCCCAAGGCATGGTCTAAAAGAAGTTAGTTAATAGAGATATATTAAATATTATATTATTACTGCTTTAAATGTTACCTTTTTCAGGAAGGGATTTTCTTCTATTCTCCCCAATAAATCGGGAAAATATCCACCGACTTCTTCATGTACTTTGCCTACCAAGCTAATTTGATGCAGAGGCCCATACCGAAACGTCCCCTGAGAATAATTACGAACAACCTGTAAAGATGCAAAAATATTTCATTAGTAATCTGTATTGAAGAAATTCAATCTTTGTATGATGTGTTACAATCGATCAAGTTTCTATTGTTTAGAGTGGGTGCAAACTAACCTGTTCATAGTACTGTGCCATTGTGCAGGTTTCTATGTCTGAATTTCTACCCAAGACACCTGCCTTAACAGTGAGTGTTGAATAATTTTCTGCCATATGCTGCAATAAATCAGGCAAGTATCTCGCCGCATCGTGTACAATACCCATTACATGGTGTGCATAGCCTTCTTCATCCTCTGCAAAGCAAACTTCAAAGAACTCATCCACCAGTTCATCCATTTCATGTGGAGGGAGGTCTTTAATTTCATCTTGATATAGATGCACAACGGAAGCACCACCATTCGGATAAACTTCGACTTCGAAGTATTGTCCATATTTAAGGTGTTCAAGTCCAGGCGGCACACGATTATTGTTGCGACTGGTCCGTGTAACATTTGGTTGGGGTGGTGGCGGTACATATTGTGTTCCAACACTGGCACGTCTTATTTTTGAGCGTTTGTAACACCTAGAGCATTCCCGACTACTACGTGACGAAGACGACGATGAATTGTTTGCAGAAGATGACGACGATGAGTTGTGTTTGTTAGACGACGAAGAAGATGAGGACTTGTGGTTGTGATGGTGATGTGCATGAGAGCTGCTACCAGATGAGGATCTTCTTGAAGATGTAGCTGACTTCGATGAAGATGACGTAGACGAAGTAGTGGAAGGTCCCGGCACTGTGCCTCCACTACCTATGGAAACAGTGGAATGATTTTGATGTTGCGCACTTTGGTTGTGAATAGAAATATGTGATGTCGAGTCTGTATAATGATGGTTTGTGCTTATATTTGAATGCTGCACCGCCGTTGTTGACACAAATGGTGTTTTGTGAGCTGGCGAGGGCATCATAAGACTTTCCATTTTCAGTTGATTTTCTGTTAGTTTTGGTAACGTCTCCGCTTTTATAGGAATTTTTTGGCATAAATCTTGTTCCGATGTAGTTGTCTCTGAACTTAAAGGTTTGACAATTGGTTCCGATTTTATTTCTATTGCACTTGATAACTTAGAAGGAATTTCTTGCTTGATGTCCACAGCAGATTTCGTTATTTCATCGATCAGAACTTTTTCGTGGAGTTTATCTTCCATCTTTGTTACTGCAACGTCATTAAAATTTAGTTGTCGAGATACTTCATTTGGTGTTTTACATGTACTACTTTTGACTTCAGTAGATTGTTTTATTTCCTCTTTGATAGATATTGGAGAAGCATTTACAGCAACGGTAACAGCTGGAGTTTCCAATTTGATCGCTTTGAAGACATCTTTGGCATCCTCTTTTTTTAGGGCGACATTCCCCTCATTTTGATTCCTTATTTCTTCCTTTTCTTTTTCCATTTTTTCTTCTTTACTGTTTGTTATGGGATAATCGCGTACATTGTTTTGGTTATCCTCTTTTAATGCATCACAAGATTTTGTTGTATCATGTGTATCACCAAGATTTGTTAATGGGAGGTCTTGTTCTATAGACTTGCCTTTCTCGCTCTCCGCTTCGCCCATTATATTTAAGCAATTTAATTTGAATCCACTGCTCTGGCTACATCTGCTACTTTCTGAACTTCTCCTACGACTGCTAGCTTCTGATGTAGATGCCGAGGACAATAATGCAGCCTACATTTTTAAAAGTAACCAAAATTATTTGAATTTTAAATTGTTAAAAACAATCTTACTTTATCCTTGTCCAACGACGGATCCTTAACTGGCGTTGATGTACTGCCGCTCGCACCATTTTTAGTCCTTGATTTTTCACTATTATGATGTACATCCCTGTGATGGTCACTTGAAGAATGAGGTTTCGACTTTGATGAGCTGCTTCGTTCTGAAGAGCTTTTCGTAGATTTGTCCCTACTGTGGGAGCTATGTGATTTGTCTCGATCGCCTTTGTCTTTGGACTTTTTGTAACCGTCCCTTTCACGATCTCTGTCTCTGTCCCGTTCTCGATCCCGGTCTCTATCACGGTCACGATCACGATCCCGGTCTCTGTCTTTCTCTTTTTTCTTCTTCTTGTGTGATTTGTCTACAAATATTCAGTAAAAATCAAGAAAATATTCATTAGTGACTTCTATATTTGGCTTACCTTTGTCACCGCTTCGTTCCTTGGACAAGGCATTGTTATCCTCAGATGCTGTCGTTAATGATTTTGCCGACTTTGAATCTATTACTTGTCCTTTGGAAATATGTCTCCCTTCTTTGTCTCGACTACCTTCGTTGGATCTCTTTTGAGAATTTGTATCACAACTCCCATCTAATCCACGAGTATCTTCTGCTTTTACAGCGACTTTGTCTTTACCACCGGCAACATTTTGAATATTTATTTTGGTATTCGTCGCTGACTCCGCTGCTTTTGTTTGTTGCTGCTTCTCCTCTTTTCCATCGCTCGTGGTCAGTTGTTGTTTTTGCTCTTGCTGCTGCGACGTAGACGACGTCACCTGAGTTTCCACAATATTCGACATTGCGCGCCACTTCTTCCCTACGACGTTTTCGTCGGCACGTAGTAAATGCGTCAAACACACAACTAAACCTTTTGGGATGGCAAGCTTGTTGGTAAGTAAGTTGGTTATAAGTTATGTACCAAAGCAAGCTAGCAGCGAAAAGAATAAAAAATCGATTTATTTTGACCGCCTCGGTCTCAACGCGGCATATGTATATATAGCGCGCAATTTATGACCGATATATTTTCTTTTTCTCTTTCACTGGAATTTTTCACCAAATCTTTGTTCCGTCCATTTGTTTTTGGCTAAATTAAATATTTCCACTTTTTTCTTTGTAATACATTCTTTTCTTCTGCGTCACAATTCTTTGTTTTTCATCACGTCCACAAATGCATCGCGTTTCATTCTATATATCGAAAGTTAATTGCTGTACATTTTAATTCTTATTTTATATATATATTTTTTCAATATTTGCAATTAATTAGTGAATTATTTTACTTTTTAATTTTTGCAATTCTATTTCAACGCGTCGTCCATTTTACTAACACTAGGGATCCATAAGTCGACTTTCGGCTAAAAATTCACAAAACGAAATTACCAATGGAATAAAGACCAAAAAGGAATTAGCATATAGAATGGTGTTCAAAACGGAATCAACATCTGAAAAAGACGTATAAAACGGAATGGATCGCATAGAACGAAGGTAAAATGGAATTGAATTTAATCCTCGTACGAATACTAAATTTATTTTAAAGTGGGTTCACATATCAATCTTTATCCGTGTTCATTCCGAAAATTGAACACTTAAAATGGATAATCACGGTTTATCCATGATACCATGAAATCAAGGTTGGACACTAATCGTTTTTAATTTATATAATTTGCCTGACATAACATGCAAAATTAATTTGTACTTATGTGTGTTCTTTTCAATCATATGAAAATTGCTGTCGTATGTATGGAAAAAATGTGCCCTTTAATAAACAACTTGTTGCATTTGTTTTGATATTAATTCTGACATTACAGTCCATATAGGCAGCCCTTTTACTTGCAAATTTTCCAACTTAGTCTACCTTCTCTTCATTGTACCATGGTTTAATCCAGATAAAAATCTTGTATGTAAATGTGCTAAGGTATTGATTGTAGTTTGAGTTCTAAATATGTGCTGTTTCATCGAAATGGGTACCTTATTCATTTGAATTGAGTATGCATGTAGCTGCGTGGCAAAATCGATAGGTAATCCATTTGACGCAGATGAACACAAAAGAAAAACATTTGGTAAAATAGCAAACAGGAATTCACATTTTGTCAGATTTTTAAAAAGTGGTGTTACACCCTATTATTACGCCATGCTGCTACTCTTTTGTTGGCCAAATATTGCGTTTCTAGAACCCTTCAGATAGAATTTTTCGATCTCCTAGAACCCTTTAGACGGAAGTTTTCGATCTTCTAGAGTGAAATGTGAGTAGTTGTGAATTTGATGCGATTTGTTGAGATAGTTGATTAAAAAGTAATGTGTTACACAATTAAATTAGTATGTGCCCTTTGTCTTATGATAATAGTTCCCAACGAGAGCAAACAAATTCTGGGAATATTTCCGCATTTTGGATACAGCCATTTTAAAGTTTTCTATCCGTTACTACGCAACTTAGCCGAAAGGGGTCACAATGTAACGGTTATCACACACATTAAAAGTCCCGATCCACATTTGGCGACATACGAGGAGCTTCTTTTGGAACAAATGGAAGTTGTTAATGTGGTTCCCCTGACCGAATGGATGCCGAGAACATGGAAAGGTCTAATTGACGAATATGTGGGTTTGCATGTAGAGGGTCAGGAATCGTGTGAGCGTCTCTATGAAAGTGGCTACATACAACAAGTACTCCAGCGTCACGAAAGGAAACCATATGACATAGTTATTACGGAATACTTTAATTCAGACTGTCAATTGGCAGTTCCCTACCTAATGAAAACGCCAATTATTGGCTTGAGTAGTTGCCTCTTGATGCCCTGGTACTATGATCGTATACTCTTGCCAGATATTCCATCATTCGTTCAATCTGAATTTATTGGATTTGCTACACCTCTAAATTGGCAAGAGAGACTAACAAACTTTTTACAAGCAAAAGTCTTATCGCTTTTCTATCGGTAAGTATTGTTTTGAAAATAACAAATTAATATTAATTAAATACTTTTATTCTAGCTATCACACCAACCGTCTTGACAATGAATTAATACGTCATAACCTGAATGTCACGGTTGATGTCAATAACATTGCACAACAACAGACTGCTCTTGTATTTGGTAATCAACATTATTCATTGGCTGGTATACGTCCACATACCGAGCAATTTGTTGAAATTGGCGGCATTCACATCCAGGAAGACAAAGTCCACGAGAAATTATCACCTACAATTGAGGAGTTTTTAGACAAGTCTAATGGAAAAAGTGTCCTCTTCATTAGTTGGGGTTCCATGATTCGCGCTTCTACTATGGAAGCGACAAAACTTAACACCATATTTTCCGCTTTGGAGAAAAGTAAAGCTAGGGTTATTTGGAAATGGGAAACCGATGACGTTCCAATAAAAAATGAAAATTTTCTTTTTGTTAAATGGGCACCACAACTTTCGTTACTATGTAAGTATGACATCGATTATAAATTGTACATTAGTTACCCTGATGAGAGATATTTATTAGTCATCGGCAAATTTTACAACTCAAAAGTGAATTTTGAATGTCAGAAAATGTCTGGCTATTAAGTAGACCAGAAAAAATAGGCTTTGTTCGGCACGATCTTTAGCAGAAGGCATCAGTAAAATATTTTTTAGAAATGCATCATTTATTCACCATTCTTCATTAACGTTTTTAAAGATTTATTTAACTTTATTTTATTATTTCTTTGAAAATAACGTTATTCTCATTGGGAATTATACAATTCGTCAGGTATTCAATAATCAGTTTTTTTTGTAATCAAACAAATTTTTAGTTTTTTAAACCACTAAAACTAAAAACACCTCTTAAAGCTAACTCAAGCTAACAAGAAAAGTAATCTAATAGTAATTTGTAAACCAATAATTTAGGTTAGGTGTTAGATCCGTCTTAAAAAATGTGTATGCATGTTGTGTCTGGAACAGGTTAGTTTAATGTTCTGTCCTTAAAAGAACAATTCGTCTTTTCTCTTAGCAAATCGTTACTAAGTAAATTTTATTGAAAAAGATAACGCACGGAGCTTTTTTTATATTCTGAAACTTTCAATGATTTTCATATAAATTAACACTTTTCCAGGCCATCCTAAAATAAATCTGTTTTGGGGTCATGGAGGACTTCTAGGAACTACAGAAGCTGTCTATTGTGGCAAACCAATGATCTTAACCCCAATTTATGGTGACCAATTTGTTAATGCCTTTGCTGTACAAAATCGCAAAATAGGAATAATTTTAAATTTTGAGGACATCAATGAAAAGAATTTGGACAATGTCTTAAAAGAAATGCTAAAAAACACAAGGTACGTCAATACTCTTTTTGTTTAAAAAGTGGTAATGAAAATGTTATTTTTGCAGATATGAAAGAAACGCCAAAGGACTATCCAACATATTTCGTGATCGTCCGAAAAAACCCCTGGAGACGGCGACTTGGTGGGTTGAACATATATTGGAACATCAACAAGCACGTGAAGTTTTGCATTCACATGCTGTACATTTGAATTGGTTTATATACTACTCGTTAGACTCGATTTGTATTATACTGGCAGCGCTTTTTGCACTGTTATTATTTTTACGATATGTTATAAAAAGTACTCTGCAGTCATGCACAAAAAAAGTAAACAAGTTGAAGAGCCAATAGTTTAAGCACTTTTAAACTAACTTTTAAAATAAGATATCAATGTAAGAGCTCTCTATTGACGACATGACAATGCCAACGAAAATGTTACAACTTCATCAGTGAAATGTACTTAAAAGTGATGTAATGTGCCTTCTATACAATAGTTGCAATAGTTTTCAAATATAAGATAGTTTTATTGTACATAAATATGATTTAAAATAACTTTTTTTTTAATGAAATGTCTTTTATGCGTAGATCTTAAATTGCAACACATTTAAAGTTACATTGTAATAATTTTGATAAAGTGTTTAAGAATCATCAATATCAGTGTTTTGAATGTTCTTACACCGGGGCCAAAGTCTGAAAATGTCTGGCTATTAAGTATACCAGAAAAAATAGGCTTTGTTCGGCACGATCTTTAGCAGAAGGCATCAGTAAAATATTTTTTAGAAATGCATCACTTATTCACCATTATCAAAAAAATTTCGATCGAAATGAATTTAAATTGACCTGTTATCTGGTATTAATTGCAAATTTATCTAGAAACGACTAAATATCGATTGATTAAGTTGAAAACCTGTTGTTTCTATCAAAATTTCCATTTTTGTCAATCGAAATTTTTCTATATCGGGTACAAGAATTTGACCTCTATATTAACACATACAAATTGACTTCCAAGTTAACTGGCATTGAGTAATGAAAGTTCCTTACCATAAAGTTAATTTTTGTCCAGCGCTTACGTGTTAACGAAGAATGCCTAATGTATGTCTTGACAAAGGCCTATATAAGGTAGGACAAGAACACTACTATTGATAAAAAAATAGTTTTTTTTGTACACTGCCGTGATTTGACTTTTTGAATTTAATTATGTATTTTGTACGGGGTTACTGGTCAAACTTATGAAGGCCTGCGTCCTGGCCTATTTTTACTGTATTCGTTTTATAATATTTGCTATTGAATTTCCTATTACTTAAGGAACTTGTAATAACAAAAAAATTAAATTCTGATACACATTGCGTCGTTCTACATCTAATTTGACAATTTGATAAAAACATCCAACCATGGTACAATGAAGAGAAGGTAGGCCAACTTTGAAAAAATTGCAAGTATAGAGGTCTACCTGTTTGGCTTGTAATGTTAGAATTAGTATCAAAACAATAAAAAATCAAACAACTTGTTGCATTTATTTTGAATAAATAATTGAAAGCCGCGATAACTGAATGAAAGGTCAACACTTCTTTTCAAAATCATTATATAGGATTTTTTCGCTACAAAAACTCTAGATTTTGTCGATGCATACGTTGAAATAAACATTTTGAAAACACCCGAATTTGAATGTTTTCTGAACAATTTTTTTGTTATTGAAAAGAAAACACATACATAAACAAATAAAGATGACATATTAAGCCAAGAAAATAAAAAAATTAAAATCATATGGTGTCATAGCCCTACCTTGATATCATTGTACCATGCATCCAACACTTTTATTCTTGTAGGACTGAGACTTTAAGAATGAAATATTCAAATTCACATTTTTGAACTCAAATAAACATAAAAGAAAAAATAACTTACTATAAAAATTGTCAAATCATGTTATGTCTCACTTAACTTTGTATAACTTTTTAGATTAGCAGTGAGTCACATAACTTTCTAGCTTGCCTCATTTCTCCTTGAACACTAGCATTGTCATTGCATGAATGTCATTAACAACTTTTTATTGATCAGTATTTGTAGGAGTAAAATTTTAGTGAAATTTTCCAAACAATTGATTTTGTTTTGTTCTTTTTAAAATTAACAATATAAAATAAATATACAGTAGAACCTTAATAGCTCATTCCATCCTTATTCAAATTAAATTAATAATTGAATCTTTAGTTTTGTTGCTATCAATTAAAAAAATCTACAATTTGCAACAATTAGCCGATACCATGCTGATTCTAATTATTGAGATTCTACTGTAAATAACAGGTTTAAATCATTAGCAAAAAACTCCATATAAAAATACCCACCTAGAGCGCCAGATGTTTATTCGTTTTATGAATGAATTGTTTTGTTCTGGCCAACAATTTCAAGTTATTCATATTAAAAACTTATTTGAGTATAAATAGGTACAATAATTTATTAATTTTTATGATATAAATACATATACATATTTGCGAAATATTTCACTGTCAAATTGAACTTTTTACTCGTCATACTCTTCATCTTCCAAATCATCTGTGGCCGTTGGATATTTTAGTTCTTTTTGTGGTGGATTGATGTTAAAAGTCTTTACATTTGCTCGGGCCGTACCATTGTTGGCGCTGGCATTATCCCTATACGAGGGTGCTGGAGAACTTTTGATTGGGAATTTTGGCGCTGTAGACTTCGATGTATTGACGGCAGTATTTCCTCTGCTGTTGAAATTGGACGACCTTGCATTGGAATTTGTATTGAAGTTGGGATTATTTTCCGAACGTTCTCTTTTGAGTGGAACAATACTGTTGCTTTGTTCATAGCCCGCCGAACAGTAGTCATTACATTCGTCCATTGTTTTAAAATTATTATCATTGCCGGCACATCCGCCCCAATAGAACATGGTACATTTCATGCGTCGAATATCGAAGTAGTAGCGTTGTAATTTGGCACGACAATAACCGAAATCCATGGGTTGTAGACAAGTTTCTGGAAGACCTTGGAAACAAAATCAAAAATGTATTATGTCACGAAAATATTTATAGCGAAATTAAATCACAATATTGCATTTTTGGGATCACGGATCAGTTTAGGCAAATTAGAAAATTAATGAATATAAAACACATCACTTTAAAATCAAATAATTATGCCAAAATTATTTCGTTATATTAAAAAAAAAGAACTTTCAAATTTGCTACATTATTCGTTTGAGATTGCTTACCTTCATAACGATCGGGTCCATATAGTCCCACAGCACCTTGCACAAAGTTGTTCTGTGAGAAATTCACCATAAATAACAAAAGAACATGGAGCAAAGAGGCTCTGGTTAAAATTTCCATTTTTTCCGAAAAAAGCGTGGATGTTTTAAGTAATGGATAAATTCACTTGCGCCCAAGTGATGGATTGCGCTTGGTGGCGTTGCAATTGAAAACACTTTTGCTTAATTGTACGCCTAACAACTTAATACTGGGCTAATGTTGTTGCCTGATAAGTGAAACCTGCAGTTTTCACTGTTTGCGTGGTGATGCTGATGCTGTTGGTGGTCAGTCAATGTTCGAATGAATGGCTGCCAAGCGATTTAATATTACTCACAAAAAAAAACTTTATGGACAACTCGATTTTGTCTTTGGCGAGGTGGTGTTGGTAGTGGCGGTGTCGGACACGGGGTATTTTATAAATGCTTTCCTCTGAGGGGCACTGAAGTAGAACTGAATGACTGACTGATGTTACTGATAATGGAAATTAAATGCAGATCTTGGCAAAAACGTTGCTAGAGAAACAAATAGAAGAAGATACACGAAATTTGCAATTTTTAATTGTTCCGCTTACAAAAGAAATAATCGTTTCTGACTGGGCCACCGTTTGCCGGCGCTTCTGCGCGTTAATTCAAAAATTCAGATTTTCAAAAATACCTAATGTCTGTGTTTAGATGCTTGATTGCGTTTTGGCACTTGCGATCGCTTGAAGAATTCAGAATGAACTGAAACTTGGCTATTCAATTTTGGAATTTGTAATGTAAAGAAAAAAATTGTTGTTGAAATGAAATGCGAATTTATAAACACAAAAATTCTGCACTACTCCAATATACCTTGTTTTTGTATTTTTTTCTTCATCGCTAATGGTGGTGTTGTTGTTGTTGTGAGAGTATGACTATACATATGACTGTCTGTTGCCGTTTAATCTGATATAAACAACAATCTTTAAAGTCCCTGTTGATGTTGTTGTTATTGTTGTATGGGTGTTCACTTGTTGCTGCTTTGTCTGCCTGTCTATCTGTCTGACGGCCTGTCTTGCTTACTTTGGCTGTAGTGGCAAGCATGCGGCGTATTTAAAACCAGTCCTCTTTGAGTCGATCTTTTTTATTTTGCTCTGTGTAATGCTTCTCACCTTCATTGGGTTTTTAATAAAAATAATTTTCTATGAAACGCACTTAGGGATGTCAATCAGAGATGATTGAGTTGGATTGTAAGCCATTCTTTCAAGGTGTCGGGTGTCAGGAGACTTTATACAGATCAAATTAAGCGTGTTTGCAAATAATCGGTTCTATATAATATGCCTTCAGATTTGTAGGCTATAATGTACATACGTATATTTGTTGATCTAAGTGAAAATATTTGTTCCAGCAACACCGAATACGTAAATTTTTTATAGAAATTCAGATCCCTCTGCTTTTTGATGTGTTTCGATTTTTTTAGTAAGTTGGGGGTGTTTTTTTCCTCTGATTTTCGTTTTGCAACGCCTGATGTATTGCTCTGACAGCTCGTTTAAACGATTTCATTCTGTACATTAAATCCATCGATATTATATACAGGAGCTACATCAAAATCTGAACCGATTTCAACATTATTTCGAAAATTTATTTTTGTACCAAATTCCGTAACATACTCCAATTTTCATTGATGTTGGGGATACATAGCGTGGTTGGTGCATCAAATACGCGAAATCCGCCAAAATCTCAACCGGTTGGGCAAATTTATTTTTGTACCAAATTCCGTAATTTATTCCGAATTTCATTGGAATCAAACATATATATCGCGATTGGTGCATCAAATAAACGAAATCGATCGAAAATATTTATACAGGGTGAGATGAAAAAACTGCAACTTTCAGACTGCTGTCATTTCAAAGCCACTCGTCCGACAGCTGTTAAAATTATTCCAGTGACAGCTCATTATATTGTTTACAAGCGTACAAAAGCATTTTGGTGAGAATTTTCCAGAAAAAAATTATTCGTTATGGAATTTACGCGTGATAGTGTGATTTCTTTATATTTTTGCTTTCATTCAATAAAATTAAAAAAAAATGTAAAAATCTCACCCTGTACATATCGTGTTTGGTGCATCAAATACATGAAATCGGCCGAAAATATATGTGGAAGCTACATCCAAATGTGAACCGATTTCAATTTGTTACAAACTCCGTTACACATTCCAAATTTGGAGAGTGTATCTGTAATCAATCAATAGATGCATATAAAATCTAAATTGTCGGGAGGTACCTCCGATTCTGATGCAATATCTCCGGTTCCAAGTGGAATTTCAAAAATTTATATAGTCTATGTTACTTTCAGACGATGTTGTAGCATCCTTTGAAATTTTCAGGAAAATTGGTGCAGCAGTTTTCGAATCCATAAATTACAAATAAACATACAAACATTTTCCCCTTTTATAGATATAGAAGAAGAAGATGGATACTATTGTATTATGTTCAAAATTGATTACTTTTTAAACAATTTAAATAGCTACAGTATTCTAAAATAAACCTCAACACTTCAGACATCAAAATTTGCATACCTAATTCAAGTATTTTCCTCATGCCGTTCTTGAAATGTGCCGGTTGCGTTTCGAGTGTTTTCGATGAAGCGAAAAAATGTAATTAATAACCGAAAACTAAATGTTCTGCAAGTGTGTGTATATGCTCTACATTGAAATTTTCATTGGATATTATTGGTTACATACAGTGTGAGCATGAATTAATTACGATTCCGCCAAGTGCGTTTAGTTTATTTGCATTTACAACAACAACAACAGCAGCAATGGATAACAAAACTGTTAGAATTATAAGAAATCCCAATAGAAATATTGTCAGTTATTTGTTAATAGAGTTGCGCGTGAATGTTTGACAAATCAAGTTCATTTGCGATCCCACTCATGCGCCATGGCTATTTATTTATTTATTTTTTTTCGAGAAAGTTATCTCTTCCATAGTAAGTATTTCATATCGATAGACAAATTGCCATATATACTTGGATATTCATGTAGTATATTGACAATAAAAAAATGATCCGCAAGTTTTCAATATTATTTGAAGCATATACATAGACCGTTTGTAAAAATTATTTGAATTCGGTGTTGAGTTGAATATTATTTTATGTTAACTGTTATATATTAAGCTTTGAAAAATAATTTATTCGTTTTAACAAAAGTTGAAATTGATTATTAAAAACAATATGAAATGCAAAATATATTTTTATACATTAAAATTAGGGTAATTTGGAATTAAGGAATTTAGTAACCTGTCGTACACAAAATATATTTTTATACATGAAAATTTAAGGAATTTTGGAAAGGAAAAAATAATTTTGGTCTACTTTATATGTTTATGTGAGTATAAACTTAGTTTCTATTCAGTTACTTTATCTCGTTTCAAAAATGCGTATCAAAATGTGTTATTCCTAAGTACTTGTCATCAATTAATATCGCAAGCCTTGCACCCACATAGCCCCGTTCAGCATATTGCTATTTTAGTTGTTTACTGTATTATAACATATAAGTGGGAGGACATGTGCAATAAGTTTAGTTAAAACTATTATAGTCTACTCTATTTACTTTCCTTCATTTCACATCTAGTAAGACATTAGAGTGGTTTTATCCGTTTATGGGAAAAATGATGTGTTTGCTTGTGATCTTACGTGATGCAATTGGCCCAACTTTGAATTGCTCCACAACATGAAGAGAACCAAAGATTTATTAAAACACTATAGCAAAATGTGTAGTAGAATAACTTGTTTTTTTATTATGGAAAAGGATAATATTTAAAAATAAAATAATGTCAAAATTTAATTTATTATTTTAGTCATTGTTCCTTTGGTTAGTGGGCTTAAAATATGTGATAATAATTAATTTAACAAATAAAAAAGCAGTAAGTTCGGCCGGGCTCTCCCCCATTTGGAAATTTTCAAAAAAAAAGTGGAATCCGCTAAAAATTCTGTTAAAATTTTAAAAATACCGAATATAGCCCTTATATTGGGGTCTATACGAAAACATGGACCTGCAAAGGCAATATTTGTCATAAGCCATTACAATATTCAAATACGAAACTTCATAAAAAAAAATCCCGTGATTAATGTAAGTAAAATCATCAAAATACCGAACATAGGGAGAATCCGTATAGAAACGGAGCTATACGAAGACCTGGACCGTCATAGACAATTTTCTGTCGCAGGCTGTAGTACATATTACGAACTTTAAACACGAAATTTCAAACAATTTCGGTGGATATTGTACGTAAAACCGTCAAAATAACGAAGATAGGGGGGTACTGATATATGGACCTGCAAAGACAATTTTCTGTCATAGAACCACTACGAACTCTATATACGAAATTGGAAACAATTTCGGTGAATAATGTCGCTAAAACAATATATTGGGAGGTATCGTTATATGGAGAAGGAGAAGACGGGTCTTAGGCTGTAGTACCCATTACGAATTTTATTCAGATTTTGATCAAAAACACAGATTTGTTTACAAATCTCGTTTAATTTATTTTTGTAGCATTTTTAATTTTGTGACATTGAAGTGACAATTTGAGATTCAAGAAAAATATTCAAAACAGTACTCGATAAATATATTTTTTCACCTTGAATTTACGTAGTATTACCCATCGTCGTTCGGTTCGTGGTTCGAATATTAAAAGTGCGCAGTAAATCGATTGTTTTCATCTATTTCTAGGAGATATAAATAACACAAATTTTATAGCAAATGCATAAACATTAAAAAGTTAATTACGCCAAAATGCATTTTATTGTTTTAATGGAGATAAAATATTTTTTTTACAGAAGCAATTGTTAATAAAATAAAATAGAGCTTTAAAATAAATATGACTTTAAAAATGAGAATATTTAATATATACTTATGTGTTGAAAACAAACCTAAGTTGAGGTATTATACGGCTTTGAACGGAAAACTGAATTGTTTTTTTTTGTAACTCTCCTCAAGTTGAAGAGAGTTGGTAGCTTTTTGTATATTTTTAATTGCTAATCTTTCCGTGATATATTTTAAAATACGCCTAATAAATTCTAAAAATTAGTAATATATCATTTTTGGGGAACATCTTCTGTGAGGCATGCCGAATTTAAATGAGCTGTTAATAATAACATTAATTTCCGTGAGTTGTATTTTAATAATAAAAACAAATTGCTTTAAGTTTTGCTGAGTCGATTGTTTTTTACCCTTCACAGTGACGAAAATTGAATCCCTGATAAATTATGTAAAATTAGAGAGAGAATACATGATTTTATAGCAGGGCTGTAAACCTGTTCCGAACCGAACCGGTTTTGGATTTCACACAATTTTGTTTCGAGTTCGTTCCGAATTTGGCATCAAAAACGGAACCTTGTGCAGAGTTATTTTCTGAACCAAACCAAAACCACAGAAACAAAAGCCGCCTGAAAAACCATTTTAAAAATAGAACCATGATATTAGCGTGAACCACTGAACCGAACCAAAAGTGGTTTCCAGTCTTCTTTTATAGGCTAAAATATCTATCTGTCTGCCTAGCTTTGGATTTGAAAAGTGTATATCTCACAGGAAACGAATTTGTTAATCTTGCAAAAAAATAATTCTTCCATGTTAAATATAGAATAATTGCCCGAAAGGTAGCCATCTGTGCCATCTGTTTCTAAAACAAAAACACTTAACATTTGACATCCGAAAGACTCGATCGAATTTGAACAAAGAGTGGAACTCTCTCAAATTCGAGCGAAATCCTTCCTGTGAGCAGAAAAATAATCGAGCAAACTTAATTTTTCGATGTCGCTTCAATAGAAGCGAGCAAGTTTTCCTCGTTTTTGAGTGGAAGCAAAACTAGTTCGATATCGAGCAGAATGTACTTTTGCTGAGTACTTTTTTAGTTTTTGTCGTACCGTTGTTTTACTTCTATGTGCTTTTTTCCGTACAGATCACACCTCTCTTCTACAGTACACATCAACATCAATATCGGTTTGCTGTTACACACACAAATCAACAAACAAAATATGTTTTTCTTTTGAGCTATTGCTCTCACTCTAATTTTTCAAACAGGAGTGGTTCCGGAGCGCTGCCATACAAAACAAAAGAGCGAAGAGTAGACCTCCGTAAAAAGCTTCCACTCTTCGAGCAATCTTGCTCGGGAGCAAATTTCGCACTCGTTAAAAAACACATTTTTCCATTCTTCAACTAAAATTGTGAATAAAAACAAATAAAAGGCAGCTAAGTTCGACCGGGCCGAACATTTCTTCCCCTCCACCATTTGGAAGGAACTTGAAAATTTTCAAAAAAACTTCCGGAAACTATCACCTACCACTGAAATCTGTTATATGGAGACTATTCGAAGACGTAGACCTACTTACGAAATTTTTTGTCATAGGCTGTAGTACCCATTACGAACTTCAAATACCAAATTTGAAACAATTCCGGTGAATAATTTCGCACAAATCATAAAAATAACGAGTATTGGGAGGTACCGTCATATACATACAAAAATGTTATTATAGGCTGTAGTACCCATTACGAACTTCAAATACGAAATTTAAAATAATTCCGGTAAATACTGCCGCTAAAAGCATACCGAATATCGGGAGGTACCGTTATATAAGGGCTATACGAAGACGTGGACCTATATGGTCCATTTTCAATACCAAAAGTCCTGCAGACATAATACACAAATTTGTTAAATTTTTATGGACTTACTTCATTTCGTTCGGAAGCTGCAGTGATTTAAACAGATTTCGACATAGAATTTTATGCTGATCAAGATTATATATAATTTGAGGGGTCTAAAATGTATATTTCGAGGTGTTACAATTCAATGTTCCGAAGCGTTGATACACCTACCTGTATTCTTTTACCATGTGGAGAACGCTGACATGGTTATTATATTCCAGAAATATGATGTTGCAAACCTTATGACAAAATATTGCATGCCAATCTTGTTCCGTCTTAACTTAACAAAAAGAGAAAACAACTAAAAATATTTCTCTGACAAATTCAAGTCATGTAGAAAGATGAATATTTGTTTTTTCTAATGACAACAGTTCTTTTTAACAACAAATTTGGCTTGCTGTTGATGCATTTTTATTTTGCTTTTTTATGACTCATCGGAGTATTGTGGGAGATGATTGGCACTGAATAAAAACCATTAACCAAAATTATTTATTTTAGGTAAAGATAGTTGGGAACTAAAATTTATAGATTATTTTTTATTCTGTCGATCTTTAACTTTCCCTTTTTTGTCACAGAACGATCTTGTTGTAGGGCATCAAATCGTCTGCCTACACCTAACGTCCAATTATGTTGTAGACTGACTCATATATATCTAGTTTTCGGATGCCTGGCTCGTCTTAATGTTTTCTGCTCCATTAAAATTTAATTAGGTATATCGACTATTTTTATTTCCGCACATTGTCTTCTGAACGTTCTTTGCCATTCTAAAATACGCGTGGCTGTGGTATTTATCAAACCTATCTCCCCATTCCCACTATAAATGCGAAACTGAAAACCAGTTTAGTTTTGGTATCTTTTTTTCGTTTTTTTAATAAAATGTAGAATAACAAAAAATAAAAAAATAAATGAAAACCGAAAAAACACTTATCAACTACGTAATAACATTAAGAAAAAAATATTTATGTAATGCTTAATTCAAAAATTAATGGCAACTGGTTACATTTAGGCTACAGTTCCCCCTTTGTGCCTTTTACCGCCTTTAGCTTAGAGGCATGACTTTTCACACTCTTCTTTGGAATTGAAGCGATTGTTATTGCCATGACAGCCGCCATAGAAGAATGTTTGACAAGATTTCGATTCCGTATCGAAATAGTAGGACAAATCCGCTTTGCGACAGGGACCCACATCCTTGGGCAGAGAGCAATCTGTGGATGATGAAATCGTAATAAATAAATTGTTCAACAGGTGAATCCCCTTTTCTACGAACCTGCTTTGTCAAAAGCGTTGGCTGAAGCCAAAATTACAACAATGATGCTGAGAATGACCAACATAAACTTCATTTTGCAAATAGTTATTGGTTTTTGGTGTCTGCTTCGGAAGAAGATACAATTTAGAATGATATCGCTGAATTGATGGGGGAGTTACTTTTATACTCACGACACATCTCCGGCAGCAAGTAGTTGTTAAAAAGGGCCCAAACGGCCTTTGGCAATGACGCTTATTAGCAACTTTTTTGTTTGTCTGTCTGACTATTGAATAGTGTTGTTTGTTTTGGTGTAGCCATGGCAGAAGATACCGATCGGATATAAGGTAAGGTAAGATGCAAAACTGTGACGCTACTTGACCAGGCAAAATTTAAATGCCTTTTATAATATGAATGAATGGCAAGATGCAAAAAACCGCCAATAACTTGGAAACCCAAGGGTATACCCTTGGCTATCCACTTGAGGATAAGGAGCTTAAACACGCCCATTTATTTCACTGCACTTCTCAATGAAGTGTTGCAGCAAATATAAGAAGTGGTTAAGACTCGTTTTGTTTATATAAAAATATTGTTTTGGCAATCTTTAAAGGTGTCATTTAAGCACTGGACATAAAAAATAAGACAAAGAAAATTTAAGCCATTTTTTGTTATTGACCCGAATTCAAAGAGACCCGAAAAAGTAGTAATCATTGTTTTAGGTTATATCATAATACACTACAAGGTATATTTAGTAAGGTATAAGGGTTTAACAGCTTTTTATGGGTTTGGAAGTGGGGTACATCGGTCCTTATTATACCCTCCACCTTGAAAAGGAGGGTATATTAACTTTGTCATTCCGTTTGTCTGTCTGTTTGTTGAAATCACGATACAGCCCACATTATTTGATGTAGAGCTTCAAAATTTTTATTCTGTCTAGAATGGTTGGTATTGAAAATGAGATATATCCGTTCACGTTTTGATATAGCCGCCATATAACGGTACCTACCGATATTGGTTATTTTTGCACGGATTTGTCTAAAAATTGGTATTTGTAAATCATAGTGGGTTCTAGCTCCGGTGGTGGAATATATATAGTATATATAGGTCCACTTTTTGGTATAGCCCCCATATAACGGTACCTCCGATATTCGCTATTTTGATGATTTTGCCACATTTTCCCATGGATTTGTCTAAAGTTTGGTATTTGTAGTTTATAATGGGTTCTAGCTCTGTTGGCAGAACAGTGAATATTTAGGTCTACGTTTTCCTATAGCGCAAATGTATAGATACCCACCGATTCGGTATATTTTTCTTAGTCACATTTATTATTTAAGAAAATTTGGTAGATGATAATCCTTAAAGTATAAAATTGTCTATAGATGTTCTCGTTTTGGTATGGTCCCTATATAACGGGCTCACCCGCTTCATGGTTTTTTGAACAATTTAACAGCATTATCTAAACGGTCTTACTGGTATTTGTAGTTTGAGGTGGAACACGATTGAATTCAGATACTTTTATATAAAAACGTTTTCTTTACCCAAAGGTGGAGGGTACTAAAAGTTCGGAACGTTTTTTTTATGTGGCCGGTCATAGGAAGTTGTCTTCCAATATTCGTTTTGATGATTGTAGCTACATTTTCCAAAGGAATTTTTTGAAATTTGGTATTTGAGGTTCTTAATGAATATCAACCTCTCAGGCAGAGGATGGGTTATTAAGGTATTAGCCACGAATTAACCCCCATTTAACCTTACCTCCCCATATTTTCTGTTTTAATGATTGTAGCCACAATTTCTAAAGGATTTTTTTGAAAAATGGTATTTGAATTAAGTTTTCGGGCATAACCCTACACCACACGGTGTTACGGGGTATTTTGTCTCTGTGCATTTGTTTGTAACATAGAGAAGGAAGTGAGATAGATAGATAGTTCCTTTTGGGGATCTGCATGGAATCACATTCTGAGTCGTTTTATGCATGTCCTTCCGCCTGTTCATGTATATTTGTAAACAAAATACTGGTCGCATTTATTGCCCGATCAAGATAACATTTTGCACAAAACATTTTTTTTGGCCCAAGAACGAACCCTATTGAAATTGACGAGAATCGGTTTAAATTTAGATATAGCTCTTACACAGGGTGAGATAAAAAACTGCAACAAAGTCAAACGCCACAATTTTTAGTTTTTTTTTTTTAAATGTTATTTAATGAAAGCAAAAATGTCGGAAATAGCATCAACTTTTAGAATATGTTTAGATTTGTTCGAATTGGTCATCTTTGGCACGAATTATGGCCTTCAATTATGGCCCAAATGTGATCGACACTTTTTAATTTTTAGTGCCTACCTTTTTTTCCAAAATACTCCAGACACAATAGTCCAACGGAATGGTATCCGGAGATTTTAGTGGCCATTGTGCGCTGGAAATGCAGCGAGGAACCTCATTTTGTAACCATTCTTCGGTGGCGCGTGCTGAGTGCGGTGGTGCTGAGTCCTGTTGGAATGTCCAAGGTCTGCGGCCAAAATGTTTGCGTGCCCAAGGCTTTAATACACCCTCCAGAAAATTTTCGCGATTATATTCGGCATTTATTCTGATGCCACGGTCGATTAATACGAGCGGAGAGCGACCATCGGCTGTTATGGCGGCCCACACCATCACCATGGCCGGCGCTTGAGTTCTGGTGGCCAACCGAAGGTGCACATTTTCAGCTGACCTCTTTGGCAAGTAAACGCGATTATTTTGTTTGTTTATAAACTGCTGCACAATGAATATTTTCTCATGAGAGAAAACCGAATTCGGCAGTTCACCATTTTCGGCCAAGCGAAGCAACTCTTTATCTCTTTTTAGTTTATTTTCTTTCTGTTGCGGTGTAAGTTCTTGCACTTTTTGGAATTTCAATGTTCGGCTCACGAGCCATTGTTCGGCCACTGCGACACAGGTTTCGATCAAGTCGCTTCTTTACTTTTCGAACCATTTTTGCTGATGTTGCTTTTTCCTTTCGCCACTCTCTTGAGCGATGGTACGAGACAAAAAAGATTTATTCACATTTAAATGCTGAAGTGCTCTAACGATAACCAATTGTGGTTTTCCAGCCAAATATAAGGTAATCACACTGGCGCTTAAATTCCATCACGAATAACTTTTTTGCTGGAAAATTCTCACCAAAATATTTTGTACGCTTGTAAAAAATTTAATGAGCTGTCACTGGAATAATTTTAACTGTCACTGGAATAATTTTCACGTTTTCGTATGGATCCCATAGGAAGGTTACTCTCCATATTTAGATAATTTAAGCAATATTTTTCAACGGAATTGCTTTAAATTTGATATTTGAAACTTGCAATAGATAGCAACCTCCGTAGCCGAACATTTTCTAAATAATTTCACGTTTTGGTATATATTTTGTAAGCTTTAACTGCATTCTCCCAAAGAGTTCAATGTCATTTGCAGTTAAGATGGTAATATTTAATCCCAATAGTTTGATTTTTAAAGATTTTCTTAGTCTCATAGGGGAGGGTATTAAAAGTTCGACCCGGCCGAACTTAATACTTTTTTTGTTTATTTGTTATTAAATGTTTGAAACTATACTTCGCATGTGCCAATTAATTGTTACTTTGTTTGGTTGAAAAGTTCCCCGAATCTCTTTCACATATTGAATTTAACGAAATAATTACGAGCATGCTAATTGCTAAGCACAATCTGTTTATTTGGATATCCCATTTGTATATTCATTGGGGTTGTCGACAAGTAATCGTCAAAAAATCACTGTATCTAAAAATATATAGACACACAATACGGTATTAAGTGGCCAATTATTCCGAGTCGGTCAGAGTCTGAGCTGGAAATATAAGTAAAAAATTATCGTTGTATAAAAGCGGACCATAATATCGGTATTTTGCAGTCCTGGATATGTACCAAATATCTCCAAATAGTAATAATTTAAGTGAATGCAGAGAACATCAACAGGATTATTTAGTCTTAAAATTTAACTACTGACCTCACCTTAATTATTTCATTTCAAAACTTCGAGATAGTTTTTGTTTCTAATTACTGTATGTCTGAAACACAATTCGGTGTAAAATCATCAAATTTCTTACATTTAACAACAACATCCGTCTACCTATTTGCTCTCATTGTTACAAGGTGAAGATTTTTAGAGAGATTTGACCAGTGTTGCCGTTTGAAATTTTTATTTCAGCCCAAATGTTTTCTAAAAACCGCCCAAAATCGACCATATCCGCCCAAACTGGCCCGATCTTCACGAAATTTAGAATGTAGCTGGGGTTAAGGTCAGAATAGAACCCTATTTCTTTTGGAGATGATCGCATAATATTTAGGTGTTGAAATGGAGCAAAAACTGAAAAATTTCCTGATTCTAGAGCTTTGGGCTGGGCAGAAGCCTTCCAATTTTGATGGTCATCGGGTAATATTTAGTGGTTTAGTAGACCATAGACCATTTGTGATAAATAAAAGTAAATTTTTCCATTAAACCGCGAATATTTTTATTGCCGCCGAAATCACAAATAGACGAACAGGTCAATTCTGACCGTTACGTAGATGCCGATAGTAAAAATATCGGATAAATATAGCGAAATATATACAATGTATTGTTGCGGTGGCGCTCACAATAAGTAAATGCCATGGCGCAATAAAATAAACAAGCCGGCATTAGTTTTAGCCGGCAATGATCGAACGCCAAACTGAAAATGAGCCGGATATGCAGGTCTCCTGATTTGTGAAAAAAGGTAGTGCCAAGTTTGTGTTGATTTTTGCTGAGTCGATTCTTTTAGATCGGCGTTGGAAAAATGCAACTCTGTGCGTATGATTATGTTTAGTAGAACAGTGAAGTGAAGAAAAGTAAATAAATTTGGAAAATTGTGGGAAAATCGAGAAGGGGAAATTAGTCTTGGCGTCATTTTTCCCGTATAAAAGCGTAGAGATAGCCAAAAGAAAATCAGATTTTGTTGGTGCGCTATAGAAAAAACAACATTTTTATTTCGTTTGCCAAAATCGACAATTTGGAAAAAGTCGGCATTTAACAACGGTACAAAATTAAGTTTTATTGACGGGTTTATACGGCTGCGTGCCTTGCATTTATTTTTATATTGGATGAATAAAAATCATAGATGTAAGTTTAAATTGTGGTGTTGTCTAATGTTGGTCGTAACAAGTGTTGTGTCCCTTCCATT